TATGTATCTTCACGATTATATTGTCTTCTATATAAAAAGAAAAATTAATAGAAGAGTAAAGTGGAAAAATTTGGTATCACCTACTGTTAAATGAACGCTTAACTAGAAAAGAAGACATAGGCACTGTAGCTATGTACCCAAGTATTTGGACCTCGTTGAATCTCTCGTATTGTAATGTACAAAAAAAAAAAAAAAATATGAAAGTAATGAAGGAAAAATGACGCTGATGATTTTTTAACTTGTTGATAGGAACAATTGGCGCGCGAAACTGTTAGTAGATTATGAATTTTGAAGCGTTACATGTCATTGCGCATGAGCAACGCTCACTTTCTTCGACGCCGTCGAATTGGCCTGCACATCGTCAAATTTGTGCGGAAAATCTGCGAGATGCATGCGCGAGAGATCGCGTCCGGCTCTTAAATTCATATCCGCAGAGGCGGATCTTGAATCTCAAAGCGATGCAGACCCTCGCACAAGTAGAGCACCATACTTTTAAATCCAGACAATTTCTATACATTATACAGTCTTTATACATTATACAGCTAGCGAAAAACGTCCCAACCTCTGTCTGGCTTTTTCCGATTGATTCACATTACCTTTTCATTTGTTTACTATTTCTGTATTATGATAATTTTACAACTCCATCACTCTTATCCCATTTGCCATTAATTAATTGAGAACCCATTGGCACTTTTTGCTACTAATGGAGCATCATTATTACATTCGCATTATTTATTTAACTCATTCATCTGGACAAACACATTAAATATTTATTACCATTAAGCTTTATCCAAGTTAAATACAGAATTTGCTTGTTATGTTATGTTATTTTAAGAGCATTCGACATTTTTCATTTAAGCGCAAATTAAACAATTATATATTGTGTATTGGTTATATTTTCACTTTACTCTCTAGAAGTAAAATTTTTGTCGAAGGAAAGTACATTTTTCTAAAATTTGTGAACTTCCACACAACATTAAGCTAATATTCGTCAATTGCATAAAATAAATTTGAATTCTAAATTAATAATGCTTATGAAATATACCCTCTTACGTCATTATACTTGAAAGAACTGGTATGTTAATGTGATTTTTTTATTAAGTTAAGTATATGGAATCTTATGGCTGAACAGAAATATTTTGTACATTTAATGAATGATAAATTAGAATATCTCCAAGGTTTACTATCGTAACCTTGATTTATGTAAGCTACGACAATTACTTTGAACAATTTTAAAGAAAACTTCGGTCACATTAAGTTTTTAATATGTGGATTCAAGCATATGTAACTATAATGATTCAATTATCAATCTTTTATTTTTATAAAAAAACCATTATTTGTCGAAAAATTTATATTAATTAATTTTATTATTTATTTATGTTTATTGCATAATTTTACCTTTGCTCACGTGATATGTTGTTGTTTTTATTCTTTGTTATTCATTGAAAATTAAAGTAGATTTTTTAACCAATTGGTTACGTTTCTTTATTTATCTAATTGTTATTAAGTTTTGCAAGACCATGCACCATTACTCTTAATTCCTAATATTTATATTTACTTATTTATTTATTTATTTATTTATGTATTAACTAATCTGGTATAATATCCTAAAATAATAATCGAGAAACACAAACGTAAGTAAATAAGTTGATATAAAATTATTTTTCTCTGTACGATATCGTTGCTTATTCGATGGGGCAAAATTTATTTTACAATATTTTAATAATTACCATAAAAATATATTCGATACGAGTTTCCCATGACTAATTATTAATAAATTTTTATGCCAAGATAAATTTTAATTTTAATTTTCGTCATATGTATTTGATCATGAAATCGGCATGGTACATAAAATTAATGTATTCAATTATTTAGGGATAAAATTTATTTGTAATAATAAAATGATTAATTTGAATAATTATAGAATACTCATTAGGATAAGATTGTAATTTAATTTATAGAATATAGGTGCTTCTGGAAAAAGAAAAAAGAAAAAAGAAAAGAAAATGTAACATACATCATCGGCAAATTATTTACTTTTATATATAATAAATATAATAATGATTTTGTAAATTTATGAATTCGAGATTTAAGGAAATTTCACGCATATGAGTAAATCGATAAAATAATATTATTAATTAAAAATTCAAAATCCTTAAAACGTATTACGTATACGCTGAAGCAAATGAATAACAATCTCGCGCTAAATATTAATTTTGATAATTAACGTTGCATATTCGTTTGGAAGAAAAATATGAGACTACGTGTAAAAAAGGATGAAATGATTGCATTACGTGTAACTTGTTATTTTTCAACAGATTGCGGCGAGACGCGGGAATCTGCGATACAATAGAAAGCAACCACACCATTCGTTAAATTGTTACTTCAGGAACATGTACGCGTACTCGAAATGAACTCAGAGCCCACATTTATAATAAGTCGTTTTACTTTCTCTTTATTTCTTATTTCATGATCTTTAAAATCTTGCCGATTCTATAACTCTTTGGTTATGAGCATTTAAATATTGAAAAACGATCTCTATAGCGGTAGTCAGTTCAGAATATTACTATATTTTGTATTATTTAGTAAATTGCGTTTTGAAAATACTTCATAGCAGTGGTTATGATTTAACTTTCATCTGTCCTCATCGTCATACCAATGAATTTGTAACGAACAAAAATTCTAGCAAGATAATGCGAACAAATAACAAATTTAATAACGTACGAAAAAGTTACTAAAAAGGCTATAATTTTTAAGATACATACATATATATATATATATATATATATATATATATATATAATATAATGCTATTATGCTCATATACTATAATTATAATATAATTATAAAGATGTAGCTTAAGCGTTGATAATATTTTTCATGTTACACGTTAGGTGAAAGATAAAAAATCACTGTCAATATACAAACAATATTTTTTATTGATATTATTATTTGATTTTTTTCTTCTTAACATATTTGTGTGAGTTTGTAGATAGAAAGCAATGTTCGTGTAGCCCCTAATTAATATTTGAAGAAGATTGGTAAAACGATACGGTGACTAATGATTATATTCAATCATGATTTTATATGAAAGATGCAAGGAGTGGAATTTAAAATGCCAAAAGCAACGTGTCCGATAATTTGAAATGTCAAGGCAGAGCACAATTACCAACGAAAACATAAAGGTATTAGGGTTAAAAATGCAATTTAATATGTAATTACTGGTCCGATTACTTCATATAAACTGAGAAGTGGTGACTTATCGGTAATTTTATCTCAAATAGAGTTATCGCCGGAGTTGAGTTTCGAAAGGCTAATTTGCTTAGCTTATTACTTCTACGGACCTGGTACGGGGCGTTTGCCGGAAGCTGCAGGATTTTGCGGAAATGAGAATTCTTCCGAGGCGGGCTAGCGACAATCTCGGTTCCCCGCCGCTTTTACCGTATATTATGTAGGTTAGTGAGGATCGCCTCTCGTGACTTTGCGTTTCGCGTTCGTTTAAGCGCCAGTCGTTGCAGCAACTTGGCTCTGTAACGAATTAAAAATATAATCCCCGTTCGCCTAAGAAATCGCGATCCTTTGGATCTTTTTTCTTTATTTTTTTTTTAATTTTTTTATTACTTTATTTCTTTTTCATAATTTCTCGCGAGTCTAAAGTTCCTCGCGAAGGAAGCCGAGTTCGATTGCCGAAAATTTTTTGTAAAATACTTCGTGGTTTATTTTCAGTATTTTTATTATGGTCGTTAAGGTCGATTTGCAAAGGCAAACACCGTTTGTCGAAAGACCATTCTCGTCCACCTGAGTCCACTACCGTTACTCACACCTAGCCTACGTCCAATATTTACAGAATTGTATCGACATTATTCCAAATCTCACGTTCCATCGAAGAAGCCGGATAATTGTTATAAAAATTACGAGATAAGCTTGTGTCATAGAATAACGCGAATCCCAGCAAATTTACGACAATCATTAAAGGACTGTGTAATAATATTAAAATAAAAAAAATAAAAAAAATCGTGACTCATTGAAACTGTGACGGTTGAGAATATTTGGGTATATGGGTGATGATTAAATTTTAGGTCGAATCTTGAGAATTATAATAATACTACAAGTCGGCTGAGCGACACAATCTCGTGCTCGCTGACGAATTAGTTGAAGGCATGTATGATGGGAAGGAACGAAACGACAATGAAGACTACAATACTTTCATTGTGCTTTTACGGAAGTAGTTATACAATGAAATATTTATACGCGCATTGAGCAATTTTCTACATTATTTTCCACATTAAAATAAATTAAAAAGAAAGAAAGAAAAAAACCAAGTATTTTCTTTTGGCGTCATTGAGAACTCGGGAGTAATTGGTTGTATATATTCGCAATGATAATCGCGTTGAAAAAATCAAGGAATAAACATCTCGTGGGTAGAAAACCTATGGCGGCGCAGTGCTTCTATAGTCTGGTATTTAAATAGCATTCCACGCATACCTTCGATCGTTCGGCCGCAGGAATCCTACCTGCCTATTAAGAAACTTGTAAAGATAGGGGGATACGGGTGGAAGGAGAAAATGGAGAAAAAGAGACGAAAAAGTGAGGAAAAAGCCAGGAAAAAGTACCGGCGCCAAGTTGAATGTAGCTTGATGATGAACGGGCCAGTTACGGGATGTTGATCGTCGAATCCATCTCGTGTTGCCTATGCCCCGGAAATTCTCATTGCGATTCTAACAGTAAAATAGCCGCGATGAGTGCGCGGCCAAGATAAGGATAAGTTAAAGGGATCGCGGGACATTAGTGAACGATATTCCATTCCAAGGGTCGCTTTCTACAATACTAATAACGAGCAAGGCTTTTATCGCACCCGCAGTACGGACCGCCCGTCGACGTTGCGCTCACATCTTGGACGACTCTCCAGTCCCCGACGCTGTCGCGTTGGCCGTGGCTTGGTTCAAGGTCGGACGTAGCGACGCGTCGGGGCCAGGGGCCGTTAACCCGCGCGTACTCACTCATGTCGATGCTGGTCGTTCGATCTCTTCTATGTCCACTCTTACTATCGCCGTCTGCCTTCATCCTTTAGGCCGTTGCAGCATTGCAGGCTCCGCGACACTGGGACACTCGCGCGGCTACCTGGGGCTGTCGCGGGAGTCGTGCTCTGGCTTTGCGGGACGCGCTTTAGCGCAATGTATCTGATCACAACTCGCTGAGCTCTCCTAGGGCCGACTGCGGTTGTTCCGTCGAAAGAATCCTGTCAGCCTCTTCTGCCCCCTCTTCCCGACGTTTTAGCAGCGGCTAAGGCGGCTAAGGCGGTGGCGGCTAAAGCGACGGCGGCGATGATGTTCCTTCGTCCCTCTTGTTGCTTCGCGGTCGGTTCGACGGAACAAACGCACGAGCGCCGCCACCCTCGGGCTTCCCGTTTTTCTGCGTCCGCGTGCGTGCGTGCGTTCGAACATGCTTTTTCGTCCTCGTCATCCCCTCCCCCCAAACCCCCAGTACTTTCTGCGCTTCCTCAAACCCGGTAGGCGGGAAACGCAACTGCTCTCTACTGGCGGAGGTCATCGGCCACCTGTTGCTCTCTCACTCTTTCTCTCTCTTCCTCTCACACGCACACACTCTCACTCTCTCTCTCTCTCTCTCTCTCTCTCTCTCTCTCTCTCTCTCTCTCTCTCTCTCTCTCTCTCTCTCTGTGCATGGCTCGTCAGGTGGTCGCCGTGCGCGTAAACTCGCAAATACCCTCGATAGGACGAACCAGATTGTCTTCCTTGCTCTTGTTAATCTTTTTTATGAATTTTCACAATTCCGATTTCCTCGATGCTCAAAATCATCCCGGACTTGAATTCCACTCCTTAAAAGAACGCGCGATAAAAACTTGGGTGGGTGCGACGCTACGAGGTAGCCGAAGTAGAAACTTGTTTGGGCCGGCCGTGCGAAAAAATATAAATCAAGGACCACGCTGGCGGTTCTTGTGCACCGCTAGTCGCACTAGTGACACGCTTTTCAGCCTCTGTGTTTGTTTGTGCATGAGTAACACGAGCGGAGAGAGGGAGGCTGAGCTTCGACTGGAGACCGAGGCCCGCACCCCTCCCCAATTATTCACCTTGATCCTGCTATTGACGTACTTAAAATTTTTTATCCATAACCTTTTGGTTTCTGTACTCTTGCGGCTAGCTTGACCGTCTATCTTTCGTAAAATAATGTTTACAAAATTCCTTTCGTCGTCACAATTATTATCGTTAACAGCCCTCGAATTAAATCTCGATCACCTCGCAATATCAGCAACATATAATGGAGCTATAATATCGATATATAATGCCAATTAAATAATTTCCTTTACAATACACAATTTGAAATGCATTTCGCAAAATTTTAATTGATTAATAAGTGTTTAGGAATCGTTATTTTTTGCTTTGATAGAACAGAATTTTATTTGAATTGGTCAAACATGATGAAACAATAGATTTTTAAAAAATAATTATGGATATATTTATTTATTATAATTGAAAATGTATTTAAAACAATTATATTGCGTTAAGTCTGTAGATTGGATTTTTGTTAGCTGGTTTCTTTAGAAATTGAAACATTTCAAGTTTCAAATATTTTTAATTAAATTATAAGATTTCAAAGATTTTTAAATTTACGAATAATTTTATATTATAAATAAATTTTAACAAATTTCAACTTGTTATTTTATAATCATTTTATTTTACGTTATAATAATATAATCTTATTTGAATTTTTTTAATGTAACGTCTTTAAATAAAACTATTTTTCTTAAAAAGGATAAAATCATACGGATAGAAAAGTTTTTAGTTTAAAACTATGTTTAAACTATAAAATAATCATAAATTTGAATTTATTGGATGTATAGGTGCTGCTACAGAGAATAAAATGAAATATATATATATATATATATATATATAATATAGATTTACGTGATCAATTTAAGTGATTTAATAAAACTTGATTTTTAATAAAAAAAACTTAAGATTTATTTTATATTTGAAATTTTGCTCCCCGAATGATTTTATAATACAACACAAATACAATTACAGCACTGATTGTATTACAATCTAACTTAGAAAGTCTTCGTACAATATACATGTGTATGTTTAACAATAAGCAAGTGGGAAGTATTTTTCACATTACATATGAAACATGATAATGAAATTTGAATGGAACAAAGAAAAATTTTTCAATAATAAGAAACATCGTCTTTTTGTCATTTATAAATTGAAGCGATTCTCTAAAATTAAATATCATCGATCCTTAGATTTTTATATTTTTTATGGTATCATCATTATTTGAATCACAAATCAAAATAAAAACATATATCCAATGTTATTAAGGGTAAAGATTATTGTCATATCGTTCAAAATTTAAGTGAAATAGACAAACGTACGAATAAAAATAAGTTTTTATTTTAGATAAAAAGATTTTTTTTTAAGTAAATAATGTAATTTGTATGCGTATGCACAAATCAGATATATCGTCGTATTTATAATCATTTATTTATTTTTTACAAAAATTCATAGTAATAATTTGTTTTAGTATAATTTCAAATATCAAATAATTCTAATAAATGAATACTATCTTAGGAAAATCTTCAATTACATGCAATATTTAAAATTAGCGTAATTTTAAGGGATGGATATTCCTAATTATTGTCATAATATATTTTAATTAAACATCCATATCTCATTTAAAAACTTGAAATATTAAAGAATTATTATAGTATTTAATGTTTTATTTAGTATTTAGTATTTAATAAATCTATCACAATTATTTATTCTAATATTGATGGTGGTGGTGGTGGTGCTAGTGGTGGTAGCGGTGGTAGTTGGTGTGGAGTGCTTATTGCTACGGTCGTGATAATGATGATGATGTATACACATTTCATTATTATTAATGTGTCTGTTGCAGAATCGGTCCCGGTTTTCCTGATTGCGTTCGCACTTGCTTGTTACACCAGAAACTTCAGGTAAATATATATTCATATATACAAAACCGAGTCGAACTAAAGTGTATATAGCAGCAGGGCTCGCGTGCGCTCACGAGAAGTACTGACGCGTGCAAAGTTTATTGTTCTATTTCTCACGTTTTCACGCGTTTTCACGTGTATATCGTGGAACTGACGGCGGCTCCGCTTTTGTCTCCTTATAGCAAGTCCAGACCTCCATTCAATGTATGCTTTTTTCGAATTTCATAACAATTTTCTTTCACGTAGATGATAAATTGCTGCATCGCCCGAAAGAAGATGAGAGAGGAGTGCGAAAGGAAAGAACATAATCTGGTTATCGACGAAGGAGAAAGTAGTGGTAAGTATAAAGAATGCAGTAATGAATTTTTCAAAATTTATACGTAAGTTTAAAAGTTTAACAAATCGAGTAACAACGACAGTTCATAATATTGTCGTACTTGCTTTAGTACTTTCTAATTGCCCCGACATCATTTGTTGAGAAAAATAGACAACATTTTTTATATTCAATGATCATTTCTTATATTTCTTAAATCTTCACAATTTTCCCCTTTTACTACATGCTTATTTATTTAAGTGTATATATGCGTATCGATTTTTTAAGTGAAGAACTGTGTGGTGCTACTTTACCGGAAATCAATGCAATAAATTATATAAGAAAATCTCTTTTTATAAAATAATATTCAATGTCGATTAATAATTTTATGATTGTCAACTTGTTTCTGCAAATAGTGATATAAAATTAACAAAAGTTAACCAACATTTATAGTTACAAAGTGTAAATTTTTTGTACCGATAATACATGTAAATATTAATCATATTAACTATCGGCATAAAAATTGCCTACATTAAAATACTAAATGAAGATAAATTTATTTATCAAATTCTATGAAATTTCAGCATTTACAAAGAATAGTCAATAGTTTATTGTAAGCTTGAAGCAACTATCTTTCGTATCCTTGTATAAAACATCGTACATCATACAAAATCATGATTTATACAGCTCATATTTTACATCAAATTAAAAGTCAAATTAAAGTTCAACTGATATTGATATTTTCTTATAGTAAGAATACATAAAACGCAGTGAAAATAATATGTGTGTGTTTGTACGCGCGCGTGTGCGTGTGCGATAGAATAATTAAAAACATAACGGAGAAAGCAGATTCGATAATTATTACCGTACTAATATTATTATTAAAAGAGCCATTGTTTTAACGATTAAATTCACACGTTTATTCCAAAAATTTATCAACACTAATATAATTATGAGCATTTTATATACGCTTTATTTTAAGTATCATAAAGTGTAATGTTACGTAAAGGGGAACATCGAGAGAAAATACGAGCGGCTTTTCTTGATCTGGAAATCAAATCTGGGATCTTCCATTGTCACGACATATGCCGTATGAAATAAATCTACCCATGTATCTTATATAATAATTCATCGTATCAACACTATCATGAGATGCAAATCATTCCAACTCATTGTTTACAGTAAGATAATTGACGGTCCGTTTCTAGATGACTCGGAGGATGATGAATTTTTCGAATGCCTGAACGAAGAGGCAAACGACGTCGGCAAAAATCCGCCATGGAATCGTCCAGTCGGTAGATTAGCCAAACACCCTACGCTTCGACTCGTTCAAACGGGTGAGGCCCTTTATTTACCGGTCACACAAGATCCTGTGCCCAAAACCGAGGATCAGCTAGAAGAGGACGCCGAGGTGATGATGCAGCTTGGCACTGATAAAACTGCCTCGATGATGCGCGCTCGACTTATGAGCGCTTCTTTGCTTTCCGACATGGAGTCCTTCAAGGTTTGCCAATAATTTATGCTTACCAAAAAGTTTTAACACTGATATTTATGTTTATTTGGTAGCCCAATACTTGAATACTTGAAGGTCGTAATTGCAATTCGCAAATTAGTTCAACTTATAAATGAAAAACATTACGAAATAATTTTTACATGTTAACTTTAACATAGTTCTCTTAATATATTTTGCTACTAATTTTTATTTCAAATCATTTGATAAGAATCGTCATTTATATTTAGTTAGTTTTAATTTTCTACGTTATTATTGACATTGCATAGAATTATATTAAAATTTGATGATCATCCGTTTAAAGTTTTCTCTCTCCTTTATTTTATTAAAGCTGAACAATAATAATATTTCATTAAGAACAAAAAACAAAAAATAAAATAAAATAAAATAAAATAAAAATTCTTATACGGATAATTAAGCAAATTGTACGTGCTTATACAAATCTAAAGTAATTTTCTATTGGATTATTATATTCGGATGAGTATAAAAAAAAAATGTACGCTTTACCAGAAGCCATAATTTTTCTCATCTAGTCAATAAAATTTTTAAAACACATATTATTTCGTTGACTTCTATTTAGAAAATGTCTTGTTGCGTGTCTTTACCGAATGGAAAATATTTACTCAATAGTATTGTTATGATAAAAATCACAAGCCTTTTATCATTCTCAATGACAATAAGATTCGAGATATTCGGATGAAAATTGCTTAAATGCAGCCTGCAGAGTTCACAGAACCTAATGAGATTCCATTCTGTAATAATTGTCACTTAATAAACGAATGGTTAATGGAAAAAGTAATAGAAATTTTAATCGATAATACATTTAAATTGTAATTGTCATATTGTAATATCCAAATGGAAACTGTGGAGTCTTGTTAAGTGTCCTCGTTTGCAGCTAAGGAGATACACAAGAGCTCATCCATGTTGATTTGTTTCGGTAGGCAGCGAATCCTTTGGCTCTCCTCGATGATTTCATCAAATGGTACTCGCCCCATGACTGGATCGCAGAGGATAGCCTGGACCAATGGGGTCAACCAATCGGCCACCTATCTCAACGTATGCTCATTAAAAATAATCCGTGGTCAAGTACGTGGGAGTCAGCGGAGCCGGTGCCGGCGCACCGTCAGAAGCGCCTCTTTGACGACACGCGCGAGGCTGAGAAGGTCCTTCACTATCTTGCTTCAAAGAATATCGGCCAGATTGGTCAGCTTCTACTTCCGGTACTAGTGCATGCTGCTTTGGTTACATTGCACGACCAGGTAGCCGAGGCTCTACCGATGCCGGAGCCGCGAATCCACTTGCAAAGCATACGGTACCGACTTCAGACCGCCACTACAGCCATTCGCCAGAAGCTGCAAACTTACGAGGTAACATTAACATTACGTTACGCGGGGGACCGCCCCTCCCCCCCTTTTTTTTGTGCTAATAACTTATTTGTGCCAAGCGAATTAGTACTTTCGGTCGGGCTCACTCCATTCATGGATTGCCGACGCAATCGGTTAGTTGTACAAGCAAAAACATTGGCTATATCCTTTTGAGATTGAGAACTTGATTGCAGCGTATATGTTTACATTATACTTAATCTTAAAAGTTTATTCACCAAATGAGTTTTTTTTTTTTTTTACTTCATTGTGTTTACGTTTGATATAAGCAGTGCAAGAAAAACGCATGCTTAAATTGTTGCTTGCTATTGATAAAAAAATATATCATTAGCATTTTTTTTAATTCCATATGTCTCTACTTATATATGTATATAAAATTATGTTGAATTATTTTTGGAAAAAAAAAAATTAAATTATTAATCTAAAAATTATTAATAATGTGTATTATTAATTACGAATAAAAGTTGAAGCAATTAATTTACAGGAGATCAATTGCCTCATTGGAAAGGTCGAAGTTACAATAGCTCAAATGAATTCGTTGCGAGTAAAGCTGACCGACCAGAACAGCGACTCCCAGGATGAAGAGCTAATTTCTTTCCTTCATTCGCTGATGGGCAATAATAAAACCTCTGTACCAAATGGATATAATAGTGCCATTAGAACCCGTATTGCAAATATGTTTTACGATGTTCAAAAGGTTTGTTTCTATAGATATAATAAACTTTGCTGACTTTTGATAATAGTTAGTGATCATTCGTTTAAATATTAAAAAAAAAAAAACAAAGAAAAATAGTTGAAACTTTAGTTTTTACTACCATAGACAGATGTACTATTGATTTCTGAGGAACATTAAATATATGAAACGAATCATCATTCTACGGCATAATAAGCTCTAAAAGTTTTGATTTTTTTTTGGTAATATATATATATTGCATGCATTTGTATCCTCGATAATAATTAGAATAATAAAGTTTTTCGTTATCAATTTACATAAAACATCTACATTATGATAACAACATGATAATCTTTATCATAACTCAATAATTAAATGTACTATATTTTAAATGAAAATTAAAGGTTTAAATTATTTTATATGTCAAATAAGATTTTTTCAATTTGATCGATAAAAATATTATTGCACTATAATATAAAAAGAAATAGCTATTACATATTAGGCTTATCTAGTATAGATATTTTATCAATCTTATCATAATGTTATAAATCAAAACAAAACAAAAAGACAAAAAGAAATTTATTTATTTATAAACTAATCATTATTACTACAATTATATAATGTGAACATATAAAATAGTAAATGTATAAATTAACATTTAAGGTGACTTATAAAACATTTATTAATCACAAGTATAATCTGAAGAAAGAATATTATACAATTAATTTTTTGCATTATTAAATTAAATATAATATATTACTTATTATTATTAATATTAATAAACAGCTTTTAAGAAATTATAGAATTATAACAAATGTACATATTGTATATATATATATATATATATATATATATATATATATATATATATATATATTTTTTTTTTCACCACCTACGATCAATTTTATAATTTACAATTTTTTATTTATAAGTTGTGAATTTATTCTGCGTTACTGAATCGAAGTTTTGTTTTTTTTTTTCAGGCGGCGCACATAACGATGACCAACAGTACCAGCGATACAGATATCAAAACTGATGGAAAATTTAAATCTTTCCCAGCACCTGTCCATAAAGAGTTTATTTTACGTGCAACGGCTTCACGACCTTCGTCTTGCTCGATTCCGCAGCCTCACCGACTTTACGTTAGTCTCAAGAAAGATGCCATTCATATGGCTGGAGCTTTTTCGGAAGATACCATATTTTTTTAACGTTTACAATTGAAAAAGTTAGGATGTAAATTAGCCGTACTTCTTATGTATACATCAAATTTCAATTAATTTTAATCGTTGTACATTAACTTGTAGTTATAAAAAAGAAATCTTTATTTTTATGATTGATTATTAAATAAATCTTCAATATATTTGGCTAATAAATATTTTTGGCATCTAGTGTTTTCAAAAATTAATAAATATAATATTGTAATTCGTTAAAAAAATTTTAAATATATTTTAAAAGGTTTTAGCATTCGTAAGTGTTGAAATATGTTTATTTGCAGCAAGGATTAAGAGAATATAACTAAAGTGTATAAAACCGTTATAAAAAATTTTTATTTCTTATAAATAAGCAAACAGTAGGGATGATCAGACATTATAAAGTAAATTTTATTATTTATAAGTATTATAATATAAGTACAAAATGATATATTAATATAGATTATCTATTATTAATATACATGAATATACATTATATTAACACGAAACTAATTTTTAAGTAAAAAAATTGACTTTTCAAGTTTTGGCTTTGTAAATAAAAATTGTTGTACAATGTCGTCAAACTCTTCTAGGGCAAGTTGAGCATGTAATTGCAAAACAGGATCCTTATCATTTTCACGCAAGTGTTTCAAACTTCGATAAAGAGTGACAAGATTCTCTCCTAATTGAGTTAATGTATCTTTACCAAGTCCACGAAGCAATAATGTTACTACTAAAACCCCAGCACGTCGACAATCGTCGTCTTTATCTGTTTTTATAATGCATCCAATGCAATACAAAATCTAAAAAAAGAGATTATTTTTATTTTCTTGGAACTACATCACGCATTTATCAATAGCTATTAAATTCAACTCACTTCTGTTATTAAATTTCCTAGCCTGAAACCCATTATTTTACAAAATTCTCCTAAACAAGAAAGACTCGATGAACGTACAAGAGCATGTGGGTCTCTCGTACCCGTCAAAAAACCATTTACTAATAAACTTTTGTACTTCGGAGTCATTTCACCTAAAAAAAAAAATTAATTATGTAATGATAAAACTAATTATAAATTAAAAAAGCAGTTTATACCCAAGGCTCTTGTTATTTTAACCAGAATTTCGCCAAGTTTGGCTCGAGTTTCAGGTAGCAAATCATGATTTCTAGTTTGTTCACTCATACCAATAAATTCTTGTACTAATATTAAAATAACTTTTTCTGGATAAATTGTGGACATTGCACAAATTCCATTAATAGCAGCTAAATAAATAAATGAATCATCATGATTGAGATTTTCCTATATTTAAACAAGCATTTCAATTTGAAATAGATAAAGATTAAAAATGAATATTGAAATAATAATATACATACTTGAAATAAATAAAATAGGAAGTCTTTTTTCATTAAAATTTCAGGGTGACGATTCTCAATTAATTTAGTAAGAGATATAATACCATGAGCACGAACTGGAAGTAACGGATCTGTTAAATCGGCTAGTGCTTTATCAAATTCACTTAAATTTTTTGCATTAACAGATAAATCAGAATAATTTCTGAAATGGGATGTTTTGTTTTTCTTTTTGATTATAATTTCTATTTCTTCGACAATAGAAACAATATGTTCTGGTACACTTTCGAAATCAAATTGTTTAATGTCAGTGATAAACTTTTGAAATATATCCCAATTATGCATAAAATTCTCTGTTAAAATAATTTTTATCAACATTAAACCAATGTATAATATACTAATATCTTGTTCGTACGATGATGTATCATCATTTATAGAAGTAGAAGTAATTTTAGAGAAGAAAAATTTAATAAAATATAGAAGCGGCTCAGGATTTTTTATTTGCTCCTTTTGAACTTGAGTAGAACCTGATAATAAAGTTAATAATTTCATAGCTGATATTTGTTTTTCAATTCTCATCATTGTATCTGTAGTTGTTTCCAACAATTTTCCTTTCTGAACTTCTTCTGACAATTCATTTATTTTTGGCAATACTTTTAATAGATACGTGAACAAACTAAATGACAAGTGTCCATCTTTTCTTACTAAATCAAAAAGGCAGTCTACAATTTCTTCTTGTTCAATTAAAACGGATTCTAAAATAATTTGAAAGCCTCCATTAACTCCAAATTGAAAACACAACTGTTTACCAAACTCGTCATTTTTAGACTGTCGATCATTTAAAAATATGGAAAAAATCATTTCTCTATGTGATTCATCGGCAAGAATTTGTAAAAGTAATTGCCGTACTTGCTTACGAAGAACATAAATACTCCTATAAGAGCTTACATAAAGACTAAATAAAGGTAATGCGACTAACGATAGGAGTTTCAATGGCAAGCATTTAAATTCAGCATCCATTGAGATAAATAATTTGCTTAAATTTTCGATACACAGAGATACTTCATCTTCAGTCTTAATTATACTTGAATCTTCTTGACTAACATTTTTTAATAAAAGTGGTTCCATAACAATAAGAATGATTTTATTAATACATATGTCAGGGTTATAATCGTATAAAGCTTTTATATAATAATTGGCTATAATGATCTCTTGTTTGTTATTTTGAAAAGTTAACATATCTATAATCTAAATAAATTCAATTAAATTTTGGTATTAATTTTTTTGTATTGAAATAATGTTTTAATCAATATTGCATTATTACCTGAGAACAAACTGAGTCATAATATTTTTCCGTGTTTAATCCATGTGACGTTACTATAAGCTGTGCTGTAATATCTAATTTGTCCCAACATTTTCCCAAATCAGAAACTTCATTACAAATAGCTAATGTTAGTGCTCTAACTCCATTAGCCATCATAATTCCATCGATCAAATAGGATTTAATATTTACATGAAACCATTTTGGATTGTTTTTAACACCCATCAATACCATTAGTTCCTTAATTAACAAGGATTGGGGACAATTTGCAATCAATTTATGTAATTTTTGACAGAAAGTTTCTTGCTCTCCTTTTAACTTTGTATAAAGTTCAATTGTCATATTGAACTCTGAACTTGAAATATTAGAAGCGACATTTTGTATTGTTGGTTTTTTTAATACTGCATGCGACAATTGCAATAAAGCTGCGAGTAAGCAATCCAATTGAGTTATTAAAGCAGGTCGAAGAATAATATTATCAAAACAATCCAAAAATGTGTTAACCGTATAAGTTAAGATTTTGTGTTTCTGTAAATAGATGTATAAAAATCCATTGACATTTAACGAGTTAACAAAATTATAGATAACGAAGGAAGCAAATAAATAATATTTTGAATTCTTTTATGTAATTGAGGCGTTAAATTACTTTTGTACATAATAAAATAATTATTTACTATTATTTTTAAAAAAGTCAATTTTATCGATACATTAGTTGGCGTTGATACCTTAATAAGCATTTAATTATTTAAATACTTGAATATTTAATTATATTATTTACCTCGATTATGTTGTCATTATTTTCTTTTATGTTGAATCTTCTAGAGTGCATTTTGGTCATGTATACTTTAAGTTGAGGTAATATTCCAATGCTCGTTGCTACATCTATTGCTATTTCTATGACTCGAAATTGATCGACATTAATTACAGACTTTTCGTCGGTTAATTCACTATTGCAAAGTGTATTTATAGTATATAAAATCAAATGAAGATATTGCCACCTAAAAAATGAAATTTCTCAAGAAAATACTTTTAAATTTATAAATTAAGATTTTGTACATTTCAAATAAATGTTAATTAATTTACTCTGTATTTTTAATATCGCTTTTTGTAGTTTGATCTTGTAAAATTTCGTCCAAAATATTTTTATTTATACAAGAATATGCTGCATCGAGTTTTTCATTCAACTGCTCATCGTCTATGTTATTTGTGGCATCTAAAAAATAAAATTTTGTTGCATTAACGTTAAAATTACAAAGACATTTTAAATTATTAAATAATTCATACGTTTATTAAAATTCATTAACAACTTCAAAATTTTATGACAATCCATCACAATTATCTAAATTGCTTATTTATAGTATTATTAAATATCAACTGAAATATCGAATGAATAAAGCGTTTTTCGCTACTGCTCGTAGGTTAAATATCTTCTTTATAACAATGTTAATAATTGAATCAGATTTCATGTTCACTACAATGGTTGTTATTTTGAATGATTTTTGTTTTAACAGCGTGTTTTGCTATAGGACTAACTATAGCAAACGCGTGCACTCTGTCACTATTTTTAAATTCAGAGCAAAAAAACAGGAGGCTATCTACATGGCTTCGGCATGTACATTTCACTTTCTTGCCTGTGTGTCCGTGTGCCCGTGCGCGAGCATGCGAGTGTGTGCGTGCGTGATTTTGTGTGGCTGCAGCTATGTGACGGAGAGTATGCGCATAAATATCGCGATATCGACATTGGTGTACGTGAATGTCGATTACGCGGAGAAAGGTAAAGAAGCCGAGGACAGTATTTCGGATACACTCCCCAAGTGTAGGAATTATTTGAGCAGTTTGGGTCATTGGGTTATGGCTTATATTGTTAAATAGTACGATACAGCGCGCATCCGTGTTTGACAATAATCTTCTCGTCCCGTATCTTACGAAAGCAAAGGCAACAATGGCAGCAAATTTTAAGGGCTCGCGACTACGTGTGCGGTTTGTCTCCTTGTTGGTAAACTCAAGAACTAAGTGCGTGCTTTTCAGTGAACATGAATCGTGATCTTAGTTTTCCTCCCTCAGCGGGTACTGCAGCCCGATCTCGAGCTGTCTTTATTTATTCTCATTGTTTCTCTTGAAAACAGACAGGTGATTATATGTATAAATATTTATGCACACATGCTTGCACAAACGTTCACGGACCTCTATTAATGTTTATGTGAAATTATGCCTATATGCATTGCATTTATGCAAAATACACCATATTTGGATTTTGTTAAATGAAAAACCTATGATTAAAGAGCATAATTATATTTTATCATTAGACAAACTTATACGTTTTATATTATAACGTTGTAAATGTCACTTCAATAAATTACACTGGAATGGTAAAAAAGTTTGAGTATCCCTTACAATGAGACAGTCTTATATTTTCAACATCAAATACTATATTCTCGTTGATAAAAATATATTGTTTTTATTATGAAAATCATATTACAATCATGCTTCTTATTTACATGCATCTTAATTAAATATGATTTATTATTTTACTCTAAGTTTTACTTGTGGTTAATAATATTTATTAATATTTAATATATAATATTATTTCTTAGACTCTCGCAGAAAATTTTGTTAACTTGCCATTATTAAAAAGGAATGGCAGCAGCTTTAAAGAAAAATCAATCTCGAAGAAGGTTAGCTGCATTTACATTTCTCTCCAATATTTCACTAGATGGAAGTCATAGAGATACTCGATTGGTATTACTGCCTCGTAATGGAATATTAAATTCTCAACTTTGCGAAGTTCAGACTGAATTGTCAAAACAAAATCGATCCAATATAAAAACTCCTTGGGATGATATTTTAGATGGTTCGTGCGATGAAACTATAGACCAATGTGAAAGGCAAAATGATTCACCTCAACCCATAACAAATCAAATACCAGATCATTCGTTTAGTTCGGATTCAGAGACAACTGTAACTCCAGCCAGAGCTGGGGCTTCTATTTTATCAGAACAAGAACATAATTGTCCTCAGCTACTATCGTCTTATCATAGTTCTTTCAGAGAACGGTAAGTATTATTAATTATAATATTATTTGTATAATTTTCTTTAAAATATCGTAAATTAATAAAAATAAATGATTGTAAATATTCAATTTTACAGTTCTTTTAATTACATTAAACTAGACATTAAACCATTATCTGAAATAACAATAATGTTTAATAACAAAAACACTCTATTATTTCATGATAAAGATGTCAATTCATTATAATAAAAAAAATTATATAAACTTATGAAGTAAACATAAAAATTATTATTCTATTTTTATTTTAAATGTTATTTTTAAGTATTTTATAATTTACAGTAAAAATTGATCTGTTAGATAATGTAAGGTAATTTATTTTGCAACTTCATTTATAAATTTTATTTTCGCAAAATTGATAAAAATTATTTGATATAATTATAATTACATCGCATCTTACATCACCCGTCGACGTGTATTTTTACACATATACATGCAAATATAAACTGGCATAATATCACCAATCAATATAAATAATAAAATCTATTAGAATCTTTATTTTATATGTATGCTAATTAATTTATAATTTTAAATATTAACAGTGCGGGAACAGCTGGTAGTGAGTATTCTTTAGTTGAGAGACGAGTTGGATCTCTACATTATAAGCGAAGAATTACACATCAAACTTCAACTTTATCCGAAGATATTAAAAACCAATATAATAGTAGTAATGAGAGTATAGGATCATTACGATCCAAATCTATATCACAGTCGGCAAAGGCAAAAGTAAAAACATTGAATAACGTACAATCAGGATGTATGAATAATGGAATTATACCAGAAATTGCAAAGGAATTGCGTTTTATGAAAAAACCAATCAATGGTCATAAATTAACCGAGGACCGAGTTATTTTAGTGTCCTCAAAGAAAGTACCATTTTTGGTATTTTCTTCACTTCCTTATAGCAAAGGACAACGCACTAGCTGGTTAATAATAATATTATGTATTGCCAATTACACTCAACGATTAAACATAACATATTAATAATTCTACAATATCTGATTAAAGCATATAAATTTGCACTTTGAAACAGTATAACATTTTTAATATACGCAGAGTTTTCTATGATAATTAACAGTATTTTTCACTTCTCAAGACTAATTTTATTTAAAAAAAATATTTGTCAAATCTCTCTGATATATATATATATATATATATATATATATATATATATATATATGTATATAACGATTTATTTAATTACTTTATTGAGTGTACGTTCAAATTAAGGTGCTGCTACTATTAAATATTCAAGAATAACAAATATTCAAATTTAGATTAATTTTTTTCTAAAATATTGTAAAGATTTATTAATGATATATTACAGAACAGTTATAGTCGAAAATAATGAAATTAATTTTCAAATGTTTAATTAATCACAATGATTTCAGGTCCGAATTACGCAAAGATGCAGGACGGAGAAAAAATACAATCACATCAAGACCTTTATCCGCTATTAATGACAATTTAGATCCATTTGGTTTATTAGGAATTGAACGAGCTCAAGATGGTCAGCAAATATCTTATGGCAAATTACTTGTACCGTCTAGACAATTCCAAAAGGAACGAAAAATGCACTTAAGTGATAGCGAGACAGTTGAATTAATGCACGCTGCTACTAATAGTAATCATCACGTGGTGTCAAGGTATAAACTATATTCCTTTATTATCAATACGTTTATTTGTTATATTTTTCCGAGTCGTCACTCTGAAAGACAGCAATTTATGAAAAAAAGAAAAAAAAATTAAAAATTACGTAAATACGTTTAATAAAAAATTATTCTAATTGATAATAGTTATGTTAAATGAATTCCCTTTATATTAAATTATTTCTTTATATTTATTCCCATTTCTTTATATTTATTCCCATTTCTTTATATTAAATTAATTATAATTTCAGTTTGTTTAGAATATATCGTTTTCTCTGTTAAGTTTTTATATTGCTTCTCTAATGTTTTGAGATATAAACGGGATTTTAGATATTGCACGAGTTGGCTGTTAATAACTGAAAATATTACTTATCACGGTGTGTTAACAATTGCAGGACAAAAACCATAACATGGAACATGGATCATACTAAGTGGTAAACAAATAACAAATTTTGTTTACAATATATGATTATTTAAATATTTGGTTAATGTAGAGTATTGGAATATATATTTAATAATTTACAAATGCTAATGAAAATATAAATTATAAGAAGTGATCAGTTTTTACAGTAATCTTAAATATTTAATCTTAATTATACATAGCGAACAATATTATTTTAATTAGCTATTCATTATTAGAATATTATTAATATTATAAATATAAATATGAATTATAAGATTTTATATGTCATTAATAAGAATATCTGGAAGAAACAATATCAAATATCTTTTAATACTGTTTTCTCATTACGTACTTCTTAATTTTTATACTTTAATGGAGCTCGTTATATCATTGACAATTTTTGAAATACTACTTTCTTAATATTATCGATTAAATAAATATGACAAATCAACTATTACATAATTCTCAAAGGTAACAACACTATTACTTATTTTTATATATTTTAATTTCTTTTAATATAAGATCACTCCTATATTATGTATTTTCTATAAATTACCAATATAATTATATACGAATATAATAATAATTAAATATATAACCTTATATATCAATATACTATTGCATGCTTTTAAATAACTATATTATATATGTGCAGTTTTACCATTTATTTATAAGTTTTATTAGTTATTTTTATAATATCGCAATAATATCTTAAATATTAAATTGTACTTTAAGTATTCTTGTAATTTTTATTTACCTGATAAAAGGAATGTTTTCTTATAAAATTATTAATATTTAAAAAATTATATCTAATTAGTATTATTAGTCAAACGATTGAAAGTCATTTTTTACAGACGTTTAAAATGTAATTGAAATAAATGTTTTGAAAGTGACATAAAATGTGCTCGTTTCATTAGACATTATAACTTTTGAATTTAATGGACAAACCGATATATTTTACATTTTTAATTAACTTCGACCGTTGTTTTTAGACTTGTTTTGAAAATGAAAGAAATTTATTAACATTATTATTTAACATTAATTCAATAACTGCGGCACATATTACACAGAAATATATAGAGTAGCTTAAGCTTTATTTACATTATTAACGGTATAGATAAGATTATAATACATTGCGAAAATGAAATACAGTATTGGGTTTAATAAGTTTTACAATTACTTTTATATTTAAGTAGATTAAAAGACTACTGTAAATTATGATCGCAAACAAATTTCATCTTATTTACAATTACAATTTTAATTATTTAAGAATACTGAAACAACAGTTTTACCAATAACCGCATGCTTTTTAAAATTTTTTAATGGTGAAGGGTAGGCGTAGTAATATAGTAGAAATGACGATTTATATAGAGTATCGTTTAAATATGGAATTTGGAGATAATAAATATGATTCATATAACGTTTTTCATGCAATATTTCATCAGATATTGAGAATTCGATATACCTAGTGTATAATGTACGTCAAAATCATAATTATCAAACCTTACTGGTTTTCTAAAGACATATACATTCATATAAATATAAACGAAAGATGATTATTATTATATCACTAATTATTTACCTTTTACAGCTATTGTATGAAAAAATATTTCATGAAAAAAATAGTTCATAATTGATAAATTGTTACGCTTTTCTTTTTAAATATATTTCATTCAAATTAATTTTACAAGACCCAAAAAAAGTTGAAAAGACATTTTAAATATTTAAATTAATTATTCATTGTTGTAAATAGTCGTGCGAATAATAAACGTATTTATAAAAAATTCATTAACAAAGTTTAACTGAAAGTAAGAAAATATTTTATGATTTACCGAGTTATTTTAAATAATAATATGATGTGCTTTAATTAAAATTTGAAAAATGAACTTTTCATAACAGCTTTAAAGCTTTTAATGATACATAAAATAAAATGTTGATTTAATCTTACACTAATAATTTGTTGTGTTTAGTAATGACACTATTATAAATCATTTTGCAATGTCAATGGTTTAATAATTAAAACATGTACTAAATAAAGCACATACGCTATAAAAATTTGAAATAAATTTTTTAAGAAAAATATATCATATTATGAAAAACTTGTTTATTTTGTAAAATGCATTAAAATACTTTAAAGATAGATTACTTGAAATATTGAATTTTAATTAATACAATTGTAAAGACGAAAATAGTCAATTTTAATTATTTTTAAAATTTTGGCGAATACAATTTTTTCCATTACAATGTTTTATTTGTTTTCATTGATTCTAAGTTACATTTTTGTCTCCATTTTTAATGTATTAAAAACAAATCAACGGATAATCGCTAAATTGAGAAAAATAAAATAAACGTCTAGGAGATAAAATAATAAAAATCACATCGGAATAAATCGAAAATTAGATTCATTAATGGCAATTTTAATCAACCGATTAATCGATTAATTATCACGATTGTTATAAATTTTTATTTAAAATTACTATTCTACACGTTAGTCGTCATTGCACATTTTACGTATGTAAAAGCACGTGCATGAATGCACACACACGCGCACGCGCACGCACACGCACACACACCAGAGACAGACAGACATGCGCGCGACAAAAAACTTTCCATGTATATAAATGTAATTTGTATTAAATAAAAGGAACAAAAATTAATTTGAATAATTAATTATTTTAGGTGTTTGTCATATGACATGACAACTAATCGTATGCAACATGTTGCCGATTCTCCACCTGTGGTATTAGCAACCGATTCTAAAGGTACGGTATCAGAAATAATTTTTTTTTATATATACAATATATAATTTGATTACATAATATTTGTTAGCTCACGAATGGGACGATCAAATTCAATATAATCCAAATTTATTGGATGATCCAGAGCTAATTGCTGGTAAACATAGAACTTTACTTACATTCACATCATACATGGTAAGAATAATATAAATGCGAGAATGCAACTAGAACAAGTTTGAAATTATTAATTAAATACTTATATTTTAGACATCCGTTATCGATTATGTTCGACCTTCTGATTTAAAGAAAGAACTGAATGATAAATTTCAAGAGAAATTTCCACATGTTCAACTCACACTTAGTAAATTACGGAGGTGATTTTAAAGTAATATAATAATTATTTTAAATATATATATATATCGAATATTAAACAACATTAATTCATAGCTTAAAACGAGAAATGAGGAAAATTGCTAAAATGGAGTCTGGAGTTGATTTATTAACCGTAGCAATGGCATATGTATACTTTGAAAAATTAATTTTACGAAACGTTGTGACAAAACAAACACGAAAATTATGTGCTGGCGCTTGTCTTCTGCTTGCTGCCAAGCTAAACGATGTTAAAGGCCAAGTACTAAAATCACTTATCGAGGTACTAGAGTTAATTATAAATATAATATTTATTAAATTATTAATGAATAAGACAATTGTGAATTGTTTGATTAGGCAGTACTTTTACTTTATTGATATTGACCAAACATTTTATTTCAAAATCTTAATTCTATTACTGGTATCTACTAATATAATAATTTTTTTATATTCTCTTAAATATATATATATATATATATATTAATTAAATTGTACTTATATTAAGTTATAACTTGCTATTTGATTTTAATCGTATTTTCTCATTCGAAAACTTCTTTCTAGAGGACAGAAAATGTATTAAGATTAAATCGTAAGGATCTCTTAACGTCAGAATTTGCTGTTCTTGTGGCACTTGAATTTGGTTTACATCTTCCAACGTGGGAAATTTTTCCCCACTATCAACGTTTGATTTATGAATCTTGACCTACAGAATGTTCAATATAAAATACAAGTACCTGCCTTGACACTTAGTATCCATAATTATAGGCTGAAAATCTTTTAATTTTATAAAAAAAAAAAAAAAAAAAAAAAAAAAAAAAAAAAAAAAAAAAAAAAATTTATTTTAAGATCTTAATTGGTTCATAAGTTACATCATACAATTAAAATTTACAAAGCCTTAAAAGTACATTAGTTTAATCTCTGGAAACAGAAATAAAGTATTTTCAATAAGGATACATTTCCCAATTAAGTAGATTATATTTCGAATGTAATCGAATTGCTTATTGTAACCAGGAAGCCCATGTTTTTTTTTTTTTTTTTTTTTTTTTTTTTGAACAATACTAATAGAATATGATTATAGGATGAAGTACTTAAAAATTCTAAACATATTTGAATTTCTATATTGTTTTATTAATTTTTATCAAATCTCGTGTTATAGAGCTTATTTTATGGATACGTACCTAAGAAATTTTTATAATGCTCAAGTCATTTTACTAATTCTATACAACATTGATTAGCTTTAAATAATAATTAAACAATAGGTAGTTATTAATTTTGCGTTAAATGTATTTTTGATCTATAATAATTTTAATTTCAATTTCGTCTTTTTGTTATATTTTTATAACACCGTGTTTATTTGAAATTTTAACAATATTTTGATCATTCATAACCAATTTCAGTTAACTTTTATGTAGATTGAAATATATTTTTAATATATTTCATATTCATTGTCTTGCATAAATAATTGGGTGATATTAAATTACTAAATTTATAAAATTATAGGATAATTTCTATGGATATTGAAATGTTCGAACTGGGTTTTATGGATTTTATTCAAAATACAGCCTTTTTTATATATTAATAAGAAATAGGCTGTTTAAAAATGTACTCGAATTATTATTCAATGAATGTTATGTTCAAATCGAAAAACATGTTAAATTTTAATTTAATTTAACTAAACATTGACCTCGATTTAAATTATAGAAGAAGAAAAAAAATGAAAAAATTTTTTTTTTTAAACGACGATAGTATTTCATGTATCAATTTATACTTTTTATATAAAATTATTCCAATCAGAGTTAACGAATGAATAGAATATTAACTAAATTGAAATTTATTAGTTTTATATTTAAAAAATCTTTTAAATTTACATATATCTATTTTTATAAGAAAAAAATCGACGTCTCTATTATTGATTATGTTAAAGTACAGTATTTAAAAAATTGAATTATGTATGTGCAGTTTAAAGTTAAATTTGAAATTAAAATTTAACATGTCAAATTCTGAGAAGTTGGCTTTAAGTAAATCGATATTGTACATTAAAACCGTCTGTTATTACTCGATCGTATAAGACTTTAATCGCATACACAGATTTGTAAGAAAATGTGAATATTTGCATACCTCGAAATGGTCATGAAAATCTTCTAAGCTACTACGGTTCTATTTTTATTTTTATGTTTTTACTGTATAGTTAAAATTTTAAAAACTGAGAAATTATGGTAATGTAAAAATTGAATTAACGTGCTGTGTCAAAATAAGTCATTTGTGAGCTGGTGTTTTTTTAAAAATTAGATAATAGTACTTAATAATCTTCATATATATATTACTTAATTTTAATAGAAAATCTAGATACTTGAAATATAGTCTTTTTTAAAGTTCTTACTAAGTATAAGTATTAAATTTTACCTTAAAACGAATTAAAATAGAAATCTAAAAATGTATGACTGCAGTTCATGAGATGATATGAAAAGTATTTTATACCATTTTGTATCCAACTTACTTGATTTGTACAGATAAGCAATATTTTTTTTTTTTTTTTTCTTTTTTTTTTATAATGAAATGATTTATACTAATGAATGACTCATTGAAAGATTTATATTTAAAATGCAACTTACAGACAACTAGTTCCATACTCTGTTCGTACGTAGTGTTGAGACTGATAATGCCATCTTGAATCGACTACTTTTGTCAAGATGGGTATTTAAATTTAAATTTAAATGGGTTTTAAATTTGCATTACGCTTATGTAATATCTGCAGTATCTGGTTTGCTGTATATTAGTAGATTATTATAAACTCATTTAAAAGGAAGAAAAAAAAAATGGACACAATTTTCAGTTTCAGTTGACGCATCAGATTACAGATTATGGAAATTAGATGTCAGATTTATCAATTTTATCTTAACAACTAAAAAATGAAAATTTTAACGAAGTTTTCTAAATATTTAGTAATCTACCTCTTTCTAGTCTACGATTGCTACGAAAAATTTTATTGTAAATAGACAAGATTAAAAGTAAGTATTTAATCAAAATATTGTTAATTCAGAAAGAAAATATCAAAATATAACCAATTGATTTTGTTATATCTTGATCGCATTGAATATTGGAATTTAAAAAACCTTCAAGATATCAATTTTAATTTTATTCATGAAAATTAAGAGAAAACTAAATTCAAATAAATTCAAATAAGCAATAATTTAAAACGAAAAAAAATTCATTTTTATATTTTTGCTGTCTGTCTAGAATATTTGTTTAAGCTTTATTTTTTATTTTTTTTTTATAAATAATAATCAGAGAAACGGATTATTTAAAATTTTTTTATATTTCCTAATAATGGTCTTTATTATTTTAAATAAAAAAATATTGTGTACATTAATCTTGTATATACTTTCGAGTTAAATTAATTAAGTAATTATTGCTCTTGTTATAAATTTTGTACATATACCTTTTTTATGACTGTGAACAAATTCATATTTAAAAACTTTAAGGTTTTTGAATATTATGCGAGCTGGGTCTCGTTTTCATTATTATCTATTTTACCTATAGTACAAGCTTTTCACATTATATATAAATTATATATAATTCTATTATCATATATCCTATGTATTGACGATTGTGCTGTCTAATAAATAATTATTATAACATGAATGTTTCATTATCTTTATTTTTGTTATTTTAATTCCATTTTTAAGTTTAATGCAATGGTAATATTATTTTGACTAAAACAATTTATATGTCTATAAGAAATAAAATATCGAGTATAATAAATGAGGAAAAATTAACTTATTATAGTTATGATTTACACAAAAAAAAATATTTTTTAAATGTCGAACAATTGATAATTATAAATAATTAGATATGAGAGAAAAGCAACAACAACAAATATATATATATATATATATATATATATATATATATATATATATATATATATATTAGAAATTATTTAAAAATATTTAAAAATTTTAAAACTAAAGAGTATAAACTAGTTATTTTCCATAAATAACACGAATCCAGTACAGTTACATTATATCTATTATTTCAAATTAATTAGTATTGATTTTGCAATTACATTATGATTTCCTTGAAAAACGTAAAATACTTTTTGCAGTAAAAAAAGAAAAATTAATTTAACTACTTTTTAAAAAAATATTTATCATAAAAATATGTGAAACCTAAAATCCATTTAATTATAAATCAATATCTATCTGGGGTTGTTCTATCATCATAATTTTATTTCATTGAAAATAAAATAAAAATAACGATGCATGGACACTTGCGTGTTATACTTATGCCGGATACACAGAATTAGCTTTATATTATAAAAGTAGAATAAGAGGTTATTAAAATTACGAAACACTTATTGGTATAATTAATTGAAAAATTTAATGTAATAAATAATCTTATCAAGTGCAACTTGACTATAAAGCTTCATCTTGCTAATCAATACCCGTAAATCAAATAGCCTTGTAACGCGCATCTTCGCATACCCTCTTTCATTTCATTAAATAACGTCACATATTTAAATTATTTTAAATCATCGTTTGTATTTTCTTTTATTTATTTTTTTCTTACGTTTGATATAAAAATATAATATTACAATAGCATAAGCAAATGCATATACCACATAGCTGAGCTAATAATATGTTATAATAATATAGAGAACAATTACGAAGAAATTTTGTTTATATGTATTATTATAAAGTTATAAAAAAGTATTTTATACATTTTTAATACTTTATTTTTAACTGTTATAATTGTTTGCGCATACTTGTGTGCGATTATAAATTACAGATAAGTCGAATTTCATTTAAGTTTTAAATTACAATGTCAATTGCGTCATTTTAACTTTATAAGTATTGAATAATCGATAAGAAGATTCTACTAGTGTCAAAGTAACAGTAATACTTAGAAAAGTAGGATGTGACACGTTACAATTTATTTCGTGCGTTTTATATAATTTGATAAATAAATAAAGGTCTATATACATTTAAGAATCACCTCTAGTTACGTATTTATAATATAATGCTTTAATAATCGTACCATTTGTTGTTCTTTGTTTTTGCTAAATATCTTGAATTGTCGTTAAAAACTTATATTAATTTTATTAAAGTCTTGTTAAACATTAAATCTAACATTGAGCGTTTTGTTAGATATGTAAGATCATTTGTCATAAATTGATATTAAAGTATCGAAAGGCAAATTACCATTGAACAAATGTTTTTTATTCTTTTTAATTCTTTTTTTTTTATTTTTTTTTTATTTAAATAGTTATTTAAAAATCAACATTCATAATTGTTCCAATATGCTTTAAAAATAATTGAAAGAGTAAAAAGAAGCAAAAAAATTCATCAACGAATCGCGATAAAATGTTGATGGTAATGTGCAATATAATGAATAATAAACGTGTGTCACGGAGGCTGGCATTAATAATGTTGGTCGATAAAATCGATAGACGATAGATAGATCTAAATGGAGAAATGTTCATGGGTATTCCAAGAGTTCTTACGGTCCATCTAAACATTCAGCTGGTTATAAAGACGTTGAATGAAGTGAGTGCGAGAGTGCGAGAGTGCGAGAGTGCGAGATGGGAAATTGCCGTGCTTAAGTACGCGAAGCGTAATTCATTGATCAAATGAGATTGGGGTGAATCTGATTTGTTGTATTTGTCGGTGAGGAGGTAAGCGAGCAAGCAAAGGACGCATTATCGGTAAAGTTTCGCCGGGCACTTAAGCTCGAGAATGAAAAGTATTCAAAGCCGTAGCTTGTTGTCTCGACCTTGGCTACCATAACAACCAACGGCGAAAACTAAACGGCGACGCGACCTTCAGAAGCCACGAGTCGTATTACGAAGTCGAGCGGACGAGATATTTATTTAGTCGTGGTGACGCTCGTGCGAAGAGAAGGTCAGGATCAGGGAGGCTTAGCGCTCACTCGGTGAGGCTTCGGGCCTACGAGAAGCGCTTCGTGTTCGGCGCTCTACGGCAGTCGTCCGCCTACCACTATGGGAGTCGCTTGCCCCGAGGACTCGGGCTTCTCGCTTTCCAGGAACCTCTCGCTCTGGTGGACCGAGGAGACCGAATATGTGCTACAACGCCTCGAGCGCTGGGCCGCCTACGCTCGGGGCTACAACCGGCTGCGCTCGACGAAGCTTTCGCCGTCCGGGCGTACGACCACGGAGACGCCCTCGGAGCGAGCGCGCCTCGTTTACTGCAGCCTCGACTACAAGTCGAACGGTAATGTGGACGGCCGGTGCCTTGAGACCTACAGTCTCGACCACAGCATTTACTTCAAGACCGTAGGCGAGATTCGAAATCAGGCGGGCGCTACAACGACGACGACGAGAAGGAGGAGGAGGCCAAGCGCGCGACTCGATTGCGGTGATTTCCTCGCTTCGGATTTTGACGACGATGACGACGACGATGTCAACAACTACGACGACGATAACAACAATAATAACGACGACGACGAGGAGGAGGAGGATGAGGAGGATGAGGAGGATGAGGAGGAGGGAAATGAGAGCCAAAGGCAAGAAGAAGAGCGACGAGGTGAGAAATCAGGAACCGTCGCTCGCTATGTGGACGCCCTTAATAATAATGTGGGCGGCCAGAAGCACTAGCCCTGATTTCCGCCTCGGTGTAACCCTTCGGCCCGGGGTCGTGCCTTCCTCGATAATCCCACCGGCCGGAGGGCTGTGCGTACGCGTGCGCGGCACAGGCTCGAAATGATTGCGGAAATGAATGCAGCGGCAGCGACGTGCTGGGGGCGGCTTTGGTGGGCCGCATCGATCGCTCGTCCCTAGCAGCACGTCGAGTCCAAGTGCGTGGGCGGTACTGAGGCACCCCCGGTGAGGTCGTCGGCCATGGCGAAGCAGCTGCGAAGCGTCGCGGCAACGGTCTGCGTGACCACGCTGCTGATGCTCTTCAATTTGGCGTTCAGCGTAAGTCGCCCGAGCCTGCAACTCGCGATCCTGACCCTCGCAAGCCCTCGCTGTTATGGATTATTTTGACTGCACCGCAGTGCTCGGGCCTGGCCGTGATGTGCATCGGCATTTGGATGAAGCTGCAATTGCAGGACAGCTCGAGCTTTGGCATTGAGAACAGTGGGGAGACGTTGCTGGCCGTAATTTTACTTGGTAAGCTCGTGGCCCTGGTCGGCATCTTCGCCTGCTGCTGCACCACGCGCCAATATCCGGCTCTCCTCTACCTTGTAAGTGCACCCAACAATTTTTCGTCCGGTGGCAGCTCCTTCGAGCTTTCGAACTCGCTCGCTTGCCGTCGTTCCTTCGGACGACGATATGTGTCCCAGGAACGGCGAGTAAGCGATGACTTTGAGTTCGTATTTGCTTCGTATGTGCTTCGAAGAATAATTTGCCTCGCAAGCGCAACCTACTTGATAGCACCGATCGCTGCTTCTATCAATTACTGTCTATTAAGGGAAGGTGGCATTTATTATCGCATCGATGTATTATGACGCCAATCTTGTCAGGCGAACAGCAAATGGCGTAATAATTGGGTAAAGGTTTTTTTGAAATCGAAGACTCGACATTGCGAACCTTACTTCTTTTAATAAACTTCAGAAAGCTTTCAATAGATTGATAGACATGCATGATTGTATTGATTAAACTAGTATGTTTTGTCATTTTTTTAAATGCAAATCGTTTTCAAATTAAAGCAATAATATTTTCATGCGATGTATAATTACAAAATTGTTTTATTTTCCTATTACGTTATATGTATATGCCGTATATTAACATATTTTTTATTAAAAAAAAAATATATGTAAAAACTTAGATAAATGGCTATCAACGATTTAAATTTTACATAAAGATCAACAAACATTTTTAGAAATTTAGATATATATATATATATATATATATATATATATTATTACTATTATTGTTATTATTATTATTATTTTTTTTTTTTTTTGATTACATGAATATTTCGCTAATTGTTAATTGTGAAATAAAATATTCAACGATTATTTAATATTATTTAATATATAAAATTGTAATAATGTTATGCTGATAACCTTAAATATTTTATTTAAATATATGTTATTTAAATTTACATTATAATTATCAATTCTTAAAAATCTGTAATACTCGAGTACTTATAGAAAATTCGTAGAACATTTGTTTTTCCTTTTATCTCTTTGAAATTGTAACGGTTAATTATAATTTGTACATAAATTCATAACCAATATTTTGAATATTTTAATGAATTGACAATAACTTAAAAGTTATTAAAGCTAATATTCTATCTATCTTCTAATCAATTATTTGTAGTCTGATGAACGATATAAATTCTAAACAATTAACATTATTAATTACGTATCCAATCAACAATTTTTCTTGTTTGAGCTTATTAACTCTTAGTGCATTGTATGGAGCTTAACAATGTATATGAAAATATTTGAAATTACAGTACGGTGGATTTTTAGCGGTAATCACCTTACTTGAACTCGGCGTCGGCGCTTTAATATACACATACCGTAGTTCTTTAGTCGAAGGCTTCGACCGAGGCCTCAATGATAGTTTGACTGCCTATGGTACTGATAAAACCAAGAGCTTTCACGTTGATATGATGCAGAATACGGTAGATATATTTAATTATACATATTTGTTTATCTATTTTACGCCACTGTGATATAACAAATTATTAATCTTTGTTAATTCCTTACGTGTTGAAAGTTAAAGAGAGTGTATCGTAAGCGGATGCTATAATTTTACATTGTGGAAAAGAATTAAAAATTTCAGGTTACTTTCAGGTTAATTCGAGATTAAATAGTTTATATAAAAATAATGAAAAAATAAATGTTGCTAATTAAATAAATGTAATTATTTTCAAGCTGATTAATTTCAAGCAATTTTTTGATAAAATTATTATTCCATTGAAAGTCAGTATTTTTTGTACAAATCGTTTTCTTAAAAGTCGTTATAATGAAAATACCTTATTTTAACGTCACTTTATAATTCTAATGATTTGCAGATTTTATTAGATATTATAACAGTCCAATAAGATAGCATAACGGATTGATAGCTAATGAGCATATATTCATTTTCATCTATAATAAATATGATATTGATCTTACATGTTGTCTTTATTTTAATAATATCATTTGACAATAGCTTCATTGCTGCGGCAACAAAGCTTATACTGATTGGTTGAACATGGCACCGTCTAAAGTTGTTCCTAGTTCTTGCTGTAGTGTTCAAGAAGGTGAATGCGATACAACAGATACCGACGATATTTATACCGAGGTTCGATAATCTATATTATTTATCATTTACTTTTGCTTTATATCATGCTGCTTTAACTTTTCGTTAAAAAGTTGCAGGCTAATTTTAAATGTTGAAAGTTCAATTATTGTGAGTAAGGCACACATAAGTTCGGATAATATACACTCCCTCCTCCCCGGTGCCGCTCCACCATTCAACATTTAACCAACTAATCTAATACAAGAATTTTCTTTTCTCACAATATAAATTTGTTCTAATATTTGTTTCTAAGATAACAAGATATCATCAATTTCACAATACTCTATTCCTTAAAAATGTAGAATATTTAATATTCGTTACTCATATGACATCGTTACTCTCGGAACAAAGGGAATAAATTTTTTATTTATTTATATAAATAGTTACGCAAATATGTTATTTCATATATAACTTAAAAAACAATAATATTAATAATAATAATTTTGTCTAAATAAATAATTTATTTATTAACAATAGGACTAATTGATATTTTAAAATAATGAAAAATAAAACAATAGTTATGAATCGTGTAACCTATAGTAAAAACATATAATTAATAAATAATACAGCTGATGAAATTGTATTAATATAGCTAAATAAATAGAATGGATATCAATCGATTTAAACACCCGACATATACTTCTTTTAACAAATGAGAAAATTTCAACTAAGCATTCGATATTATTGCAATTAACAATTTGAAAAATCAATCGCAAGAATTCAATCGCAACATGCAGGTGCGCACGCGCCCACACACACGCACACACATACGTAATTAGATTTTAAAGAGCATCGAACAATTGAATTGAATGTTTAATGACTTATTATTACTTTATAATATTATGTAATAGACTACATTACTTCTCTTAATTATATTAATTTAGGGCTGTTACAACCGCGTGATATACTTCATCAAGAGCAATGTCAGTCTCGTCGCTGGAAGCGCTTTCGGCGTTGCTGTTTTTCCACTGCTCGGCGTTTTTCTGTCCTGCTGCTTGGCCAATCACATCAATAAAATTCACTAACGCAAACAAAACAACGACAACGATCGCCCAACATAATCGTCAATAATTACATAAACCTGCAGAAGACAACAAATGCTTGCCGTTATCTCGGCATCAGCAGTAATCCTAATAATACTCCAGAGTTACGACTGTTCTACAGCATCCAGATAACGCAGAGAAACTCTAACGTGATCCGTCATCTGCCCTTGTTCAATCATTGTACCGTATACTTTAACCAGGCAGCTTATTGCGAGATAAACTTTCAAAGCAGTTTTTTTGAATTCTAAAATGCAAATCTTGAATCTAGCAAGTACTTTTGAAATTTCATAAAACTTAATTAAGATAGATAAGGTTGATGGTACTTTTCAATTTTTAAGCTTTTACATAGGAATCTGTGAACGTTTATCGAATTGTTTAATACTACTTTTCTTCTTCCCCCCCCTCCCTCCCTCTTTGTCTCTCTCTCACTCTCTTTTAATTTGCTTACAGTATTATCAGTGCAATATATATATATATATATTATATTTTAAATAAATGCATCTTATCGATTCTATTATTTCCATGGAAAGGTAAAGTCATTATTACACTCCTAGGTACGCAGATTTTGAGCTAATATTAAATGTTAAGATCTATGAGTTATCCAATGTTATGGAGACGATAATTTTCATTTGAAATCCTTAAACAAAATTATTTGAAAATAATATTCGTTTCATACTTCAAATAAATAGCATTGGAAATGAGATGACAACTCGCATTTATGTCACTTTTTCAAATATAATGACAGAAGATCCAGCTACAATAATAATTTACCATTTTGCTTAATAATATTCTTCATCGCATTAGTTTGGTTAATTAAGTTTTCTTGGAATAAAATAAAAGAAGAATTATTTACGTAATTTATACGCCACTTGAATTTTAATGTACAAAACTGTGGTAAAAGTAATCTTCACAAATTTGCGTTTAAAAGCGACAATTTGCCATATTGTAAAAATCTTTTAAGAAAAATAAAAAAGCCATAAAAATTTTTAGATAATTATATTATCGATAATTTAGTGAGATACAATAACAATGTTATTATATCGCGAATGAGTGTTGCGTTTTAGCCTAATGTGATAGAATATTATATTTCATACTTAATAAATATGGAAATATAATTTAAAAATAATTTTACGTTAAAGTTTAAATTAAACTATGAATTTATGAATATAGATATAAGAATTTATTGATATTTTTGATGAATGCAGTTTTAAGATCTCCCAAATTGAGTACCCGGTGCTGTTTATTTATAAGAATATATAATTATAAGAATATGTATACATGTAAAAGTAGTTGTATAGATTATATTAAAACACACATTTTTAATCACTGTGAATCTCAATTTACTCATTATTAAATAAAAAAATAATATTAAAATATTGAAATATTTTGTACACTCCAATGTACAAAAATATTTAAACGTTATTATAACTTAATTCATTAATCGAGTTAAGTTTTGAATATACATTGTTGAATTAATATTTAAATAGTAAACAACTTATAAACAAATTTTATAAAGTATATCATTAAATCAATCTGAGATAAAAATTTATGCTTTGCTCTATATAAACCTTTGAAAATAATTTATTTATGAGATAATGGATCGCATAAATAACTTTACAGAAATAAATAATTGTATTATATAATTGATTATATTTGGTAAAACATTTACAAGATAATAATATTTTGTTTTTTGTTCAACGTTTGTATGGTACTACATTTACAGACAAGGCATCGTCAAAGACCGTACCAACTTTATAATAATTATCTAGTTATTTTATATATCTATATAAATATGTATGCATGTAGGTGTACGTACGTGTGTGTATGCGCGTGTGTGTGTGTGTTTATTTTCATATCATTATTTATAAGCAAAGTATGTACCATCAAATTATTTTAAACGTTATCCTTTAATATTACGTTTCATTATACCTACTATTAATTATTTTTAATATTTTTTCAGGAACAAATACATATTCATTTATTTTAATATACATCAATTCGTGATTACGACACTTGCGAGTGTGTTACTTTCTTCCACACATTTGCGTATGCATATATATATATATATATATAAGAATTTAAAGAGTACTCCGCATATGACAGACAGACATTTTCGATTTTTCTTGGAGCTACAATGTATGCAAGAATGAAAAAACTATTATTTTACTCTTCCTTCATATATTATTCCCAATTTTATTCTAATCAATTCTCTGTACACATAAAATCTTTGTGAAATTATCACTTCTTATTTAGTTTGGTGGTGTGGTAGCGCTTGTATAAATAATTTTATTCTTTACATTTACTTTTATTAATAATTTTTTCAATGACATAAATTCGTACCTACAAGTTTCTTAATATTTTTCGTTATGTAGCGCTACCATAAACACATTGTGTCTTGTTTTGTCATAAATGTTTTTATCACAGAGGTTGTTTCCTTGCGTATAAACATATTTATAATCATATATTTTATCTTTAGTATATCGACGACAATAATCTGTAATACAAATAAAAAATAATACGTATTTGATTCTAGTTTAATATTTTTATTAAAAAAGCCAATGTTAACTGTAACGCTAAATAAAAAATTAATAATGAATATTTAAGTTTTTATGTCAAATATTAGGATATCTGGAAATGAAAAATTGTAATATTTATATTATCATATATATTTAATATATTTTAATTAATTCGTTAAATAAGTTATTAAACGAACTGAAATTTTAGCATTAGTTTCTCTAGATGCTCTTATAATTTAGTCTTATAAATTAGTACAATAATGTTATTTATATGAACAGTTAATTGAGTAAATAATTTTGTTGTACAAATACTTTTCAGAATTAAGTGTTGACTTGTTTGAACAAATGATGAAAAAAATCGGGCAAAAATATTATAAATATAAAATTGACTTGTGTATAATTATAATAAAATTTTATTTTGACGCATTTAGCTGAAAATTCAGTTGCTTTGTAATGATCAAAGTGTCACTTCAATGTATTATTCAAGATATACTAAAATTAAATAGAAAACTATTCAAACTCTTCGAACAAGTGATTTGTGTAATTAGCTATTCGCCTGTAATAGTCAATCATTGACAATTATAATATTTTTTCTTTTTCTTTTTACTTAATATAACTGCCTGAATTGAAAATACATAATACAAATTGGCCATCTGATCCTGATAATATATCTGTATCATCTATGCTATTTAAAAGTCAATCTTGGTGTGTCTCAGTTTATGACTTCTGTTCATCGTGTGAATACAAATTTAAGGCAATTAAATAACCAGAGTACTAATAGCAAAGCAATAAATATTCTTATCCAAGTATTTTTACAACAATTTATATTTGTTTTCAATTACAAGTACCAAACTTATGACATTTAATTACATTAACTTAATAAAAAAATCTGACCACTTAGTTTAACGCATACTTAAATACTTAAATATCTAAGTAATTTTAAAAATCTTAAACAAATAAAAAGTACAAAACTATATAAAATATATGAATATTAATGAATGTTTATACACAATGAAACAGAGGTATAGCTTTTTTCTTTTTTATCTATTTATACAGTTCTAACAGTTCGTATTGATAAATTTTTGTATGTCGTGAATGGCACTCAAATTACGAGAAGTACAAGAAAAATCGGTCACAATACAATTAAAAAATTGTTTTTAAAGTGTTATTAAATAATTTTACTTATGTTTATCTAAAACAACCGAAAATTTCACATTTATTACGATAAAAATTTATAAAAAGCCTACAATAATTAATTAAATTTGTTTTAAAATTATGTAGAACTTAGCAAAAATATGAAAGAGTGAAAAATACTTCTGTACTGAGACATTAGAATATAACAGATTATATATATCGGCATTGGAAATGAATGTTATAATCGATCAGATTTTTAACACAAAAATCTATGTAAGTTGATGAAATGGAAAATCTGTTATGAAATCATGACGGATGATCGAGCTTCTGAGAAGATTTCTCAAAATTCGTGTAGTGATTATAGTACATATTTGTAAGACTATTGTTATTAATAAGTATGCTTTCAGTTGCTATGAATAATATTTATGGTACTAGTTCTTATTTAATATTTTGACTGTAAAAAAATTCCCTTATAAAAAAAAGTGAATTCAAAAAATTGCTACAATTAAGAACGATCAAGTAAATGATTTTTTTATCTGATATATTACAAAAGATTAACCTAGATCATTGCAGAACTTATTTATAAAATTCTAATATCTCAAAAAAAAGTTCCATTTATTCCAAAAATGTTCTGATTCGGTACTTGTTTTCTTTGCATTAAAAAGAGTATAATGAAATGAAATCTGTTTTTCACTCTTTTCCGTTCGATGGAATGTGTCACGGAACTGTTTTTATTTCTTTTTCATGAATCTATTATTATATCGTATCTTTTCATACGGCTATTTTACATTTATATGTACATTCATCATCTTTCATACATATGTGTATACGCATACACTCGTATAATATCAGCATTCTCTCTCTCTCTCTCTCTCTCTCTCTCTCTCTCTCTCTCTGTCTTCTTTTTTGTCCTTCTTTCCTCCATATATCGCATTTGTTTGTAAATAATTAATTTTAACATAATATTAGTAATATACACATAACTATGTTTCACGTTATATAGACTATGTACAGAAAACAATATGAGAAATAAAAAATAACTTTCATTCGGTGTCAATCAAGACTGCCTTCTTTTTATTCCTACTTTTTCAGTGAAGGCTAATAAGGAAATATAGATATTTTACAATAAACAGGAACGAGCATAAATGCATACGTCATTTGTTTCCTCTTCTTTTATATATTTTTATTTTTATCTTTGTATTATTTAATAAATAAAGATAATTATAAAAATTAAAATTTTATTTTAACGGTACTTAATACGAGAAAAGAAAGAGGAGTTAACTCGAACGACTTATTTCTATTATATAGATTATTATTAATTATTAGTAAGTTTCTTTGGTAGCATTGTGATGTGTAAAGAGACCAATAAAACGTGTATGCTTTCTTATCTATCTTGACAAGATGGTCCCAGCAGTATACCTAAATGCCGAATAAATCCCAAAAACAGTTACCGAACGTTTGTTAATAACATTAAAAACTTTTGTCAATATTGATACATTGATACGTAAGCAATATAATTTTTTCATTAATTTTTATAGGTATTTTTTGCAGAATATTTTTTTTCTTAATTTTAATAGTTTTGTGCCATCTTGTCGCACCTCAAGTGGTCCAACTAAGTCACACACACACGTCACCATTTACGTAGTGTGTTACTTCGTTTTACCTACGTAATTCAATGACGTTTCATAATATCGCTACAATTATGTAACGACGTCGCCGCATGTAATTCTTTAAAAATCGAAAAAATTTCCCTTTTAAATTATCATTTATATACATAGTAGTGTTTCACTATTACAAGCTCGTCAACGCTTAAATAACATCTCTTAGGCCCAAGCCTCAAAAATATTAAAAATAAATTTTTAATTTCTACTGGTGATTCGATTAAGGCATTTTTAAGCAAAACTCCACCAATAATAAAATAACATATGAAATTAAAAACAATGTTATAATAATGTCAATAATGATGAAATTAAAATTTGAACGTTTATATTTAAATAATTTTTCTCGATAAGTAACGTCTCAAACTTCAAAATCTCGAATTCGTTTAACATAAAATATAGATCGATAAAATGAACATTAATAAAAAATAACTCATTTAAAAATTGAGTGTTGTACGACACTAACGTAAATAACCATTGGAGATAATTGTAGACACATTTTGTTTACGGAATTTCTCCTTTCCTAAGCAATGGGTGGTTATAATAATAAAAAATAATTTTAGACCAAATAATGCATTCGCCCGTTTGTCATTCGCTCGCATTTTTGCATTTACTTGAGCCGCACGTATATCTCGTTTATGTATATCTTGTTAATTAAGTAAATATTCTCGGAATTATTTTCTCTATTTATGTATATGTACACCCTGTATCGAATGGTATAATATGGCGCTGTTTCTATATATATTTATATAATGCTACAAGAAAAGCTCTTTCTTAAGTTTCTTTTTAGCATAAAACGAGAATGCATGAAAAAATAAAATCGAACGGATGTGGTGTCGTAATCGTAGTTGTCGTTAAATGGTGGTTGTAGTAATTGCAGTAGCAGTAATAGTAGTGGTGGTGGTGGTGTTGATAGTGATGGTGGTGGTGGTGGTGGTGGTGGTGGTGGTGGTGGTAGTAGTAGTAGTAGTAGTAGTAGTAGTAGGAGTAGTAGTAGTAGTAGTAGTAGTAGTAGGAGTAGTAGTAGTAGTAGTAGTAGTAGTAGGAGTAGTAGTAGTAGTAGTAGTAGTAGTAGGAGTAGTAGTAGTAGTAGTAGTAGTAGTAGTAGTGGTGGTAGTGGTGGTAGTAGTGGTAGTAGTAGTAGTAGTATTGGTAGTGGTAGTGGTGATAGTAGCTGTAGTATTAGTAATTATAGTAAGTAGTAAGTAGTAGTAGTGGTAGTAGTAGTGATGGTAGCAGAAGGAGTAACAGTATCAGTAACAGCATCAGTAGAGATGGTAATAGTAATAGCAATAGTGGTACTAGTAGTAGTTGTCTTGTCGTCGTGTTGTCTTGTTGTCTAGCTTCTTAAGGTTGCTGATGCAGCAGCTGCTCAAGTTCGTCGGCGGATCTCAGAAGGAAGGCAGCAGACTCCCGGTATCCCGTTATCAGTTGTCGCACGGCGGTCATTTCCGTGGCATTCAACTTGTGGCTCAGCAGCGGCTTTGTATTTTTCATGCTCAAGTCCGTTGGCCCTATAGGAAGCAGTAATAATTGTTCTTTATAATGGCTTTATTCTTCATTTTTCATCTAGTTGAATAGAAAAAAAAGAAAAAGAACGAATAGAGCGGAAGGCATACATATATCAATTGATGTGAAATAAAATCATCTCTAAAATCGAGCTTTAATTCATTAGTGATTAAAGAAAAGCATTATAGTTAAATGAAAGTGATTTCTTTTATGATTAATATCGTATATTTTAATATTAATAAAGTTATTAAGAAAATGAAAATGAATTTAAGCATCGTAAAAGTACGATAAATTTGGTAAACAGCACGATTTGTAAAAGGCGGTGACAATTTTTCATTTATCTCGCTCGATATGCCCTACAACTATTACAAGCCTTCATTGGCGTTATTTATTTTGGTAAAAATAATCATATTAGATTGATTGCATAATTTTTGACTATGAATATATCAACGATCTAATTCATAAGGAATGCTGGTTATTTACATGACGAAACTTTGTACGCTAAATTAAAGATGTATGATGCTATTAAAAATCGATCAGACTATTGACAAAAAAACTTGGAATCATTCGACGAAGTACCTCGCGTAATGGCGTTTAAATTGATTATATATTCAATATTATTAATCAAATCGTATTATATCAATTTATGAGTATCAGCAGCAGCTTATCGATCGAGAATTTGGATTTTTTGTATTTCGCATCTTTTATTCGAAAATAATCAACGAAAATAGTCGAAAGTACTTGTAGTGTGTGAGTATCGTTGTCGGGAGGTTGTACGAGCTCGAGATAAACGAAAGTATAAGAGTCATCTCGAAGATAAGACATAAGCAAATGAAAAAACGTCAGCGATAGGCCGACATATTACTTTGTGTACCGTTGCTGAGGAGCCCCGAGGTGAAGCTCTGGGTTGGGTAGAGGCCGGCAGAGAGAGTCGGAGGCACCGTCGTTGGTCCGGCGCGCTGAAACGCTTGACTGAAATTCGGTCTGTACATGGCCGTAGGGGCGCCCCCGACCCCGCCGCTGCCTCCGCCGTTGCCACTGCCACCGCCGCCACTTCCAATTCCATTCGCCGTCGATGAACTCACTATGGTTGCCTGGCTGCAAGCACATACACGAATCGTCTCAAAGATGGTACAGAGCCGCAGCTCTGCCGTCTCCATTGTGGTTACAAGATGCGCGAGCAGCACGCAATCGCGCGGACACTTGCCGCGTTACGTTTGTCTTTCACGCGATCTAGTCTGATCCACAAAGACTAAAGCCGCTCGCTCGCTAGGAAGCTTTTCAATTTTGATTTTATTCCAATTTTATTTCATTTTAATGAATTTGCTTCGGCAATTTTTAAAGGGTTTGCTCACCGACTCCTTTCGTTGCTCGATTTCCACGTTATTCGTTACGGATCCTCCCCTGCCCCCGCCCCACCCCCACCACGAGATTTTCCGCAACTTAATTAGCGTGCCGATAGCACGCTAGGCAATATGTAAGCACATTTTTCGCAGTATGCTGGCGTGAATTCCGATTTCCTGGAGAATAATCGATCGAACGTGCTCAGGGACGAAATTTCATCTCCAATACTTCCGACATTCGTCAAGGTCCTCGCGTTAAACGGGCTTGATCCAATGGAGATTGGGTGGGGGCGAGAGAATGGACAAGGACGGTAGGGTGGGAGGGGTGGTAAGGGGTGGTAAGGGGTGGTAAGGGGAGAAGGAGTAGGAGGGGGGTTGGAGGGTCACGTTGATCTCACGCTCTTAGCAACGAGTCGTTCGAGTGCTGGACATTAAAACAAAAGGACCGTGGATACAACGTGCCGCCCGTCTACCATTCCGGTCAATTACAGAAGGGAACAAGAGGGGAGGCGAAAATCCATTGCTACTCACCTCATCAGAGTTTTGCTGGTGTCACTGTTGGTCAGGAGCTTGGAAGCGGGGGTGAGCGAGAGGGGCGTCGAGGATAGGCTACCGCTGTTGGGTAGATTAGCCAGACTGGTAAGCGGCGCCAGCGATGTCAAGGCTGTCGGCGGCGTGTCCTCCCGCTTGATCGTCAGCGATTTCACCGGGGTGCTGCTCGTGAAGTGATCCAAGTTCGCTCGCACGTCCGTTTGCTAAATTCACGTCCAACCGTCGGAACAATTAGTCAGAGCGGGGCAAGGCTTCACTCGGCCATTTAATAGGCCCAATCGCTGGCCTCCCTCATTTTACTTATTCACTAATTTATCACCAACGCTATTAGTCATTGACAATAAACTCGTTCATCACAAATGTATTTCGCAACTGTTTTGAAGATTGACCCTTTATTCGAGGGCCAAAGTTCTACCGCCTAAAGGCTAATCGCAAAACTGGCTATGAATAGTTGCGACATTGAGCTTTATTCGCTTTTACTATTGAGTAATAACGGATGAACACCGATTTATATCTCAATACAACTGAAATTACGTTTGCCTGCCTTTAATCGTTGCTATCTGCGATTGGAAGACCAGCGGTCGCGCGACCATAATTAAAGCCATCTCTGTGCACGTGATATCACTACATTATTTACGTACATTATGCAATACATGCGACATCGTTATTTATTTATATATATATATATTTCTTTTTTCTCTTTTAAGGTGTATTTTTTAAGTGTATATTGCTGTGCTTTAGGTTTAGCGAGAGATTGAAAGATGCGTAAAATATTTCAAAAAGACACATGAATTCGTCACTCGTGGAGTGTGAATAGTATCTTAGTCGCACGGTCGATTCACTCGAAAATAACGAATAAATCCGCAGTCGATCTCTGCGATTCCCGTCAGACCTTATATCGCTCACCTCTCCGAAGGGTCTCCGATCGTTTCTTTGATACAGCTGCTTATGCACAACTCGGAGGTTCTTCTTCCGCATTTCGAGGATCGGTCCAGGCGAAGGTCCGAGCGGTTGACAATTCGTGGGAAAGGCGGCCTTTGTATTCGGCTATATCACTTATCGATCATGTTTGGAAGAAGTCAAGCTCACCTCGATAAGCAGCCAATATAAACGCTAGCCGTTGAGACGTTGACGCGACGATGGAGTAGAAGCAAGTTATCCCGGCGTGAGACAATTACTGAGGAGTCGGAGCTCGCGCGACACACGACACACGACACACGACACACGACATATGATACACGATGACACGATATATAAATAGATAGATAACTAGATAGATGGACGGACGGACAGACGGACATACGAACGAACAGACGGACAGACAGACAGACAGACAGACAGACAGACAGACAGACAGACAGATAGATAGATAGATAGATAGATAGATAGATAGATAGATAGATAGATAGATAGATAGATAGATAGATAGATAGATAGATAGATAGATAGATAGATAGATAGATAGATAGATAGATAGATAGATAGATAGATAGATAGATAGATAGATAGATAGATAGATAGATAGATAGATAGATAGATAGATAGATAGATAGATAGATAGATAGATAGATAGATAGATAGATAGATAGATAGATAGATAGATAGATAGATAGATAGATAGATAGATAGATAGATAGATAGATAGATAGATAGATAGATAGATAGATAGATAGATAGATAGATAGATAGATAGATAGATAGATAGATAGATAGATAGATAGATAGATAGATAGATAGATAGATAGATAGATAGATAGATAGATAGATAGATAGATAGATAGATAGATAGATAGATAGATACGTAGATGGAGAGATAAATAAATAGATTGTTAGATAGTGAGAGGGAGAACAGCACAGGAATTCCCAATTGTTGTTTTTACTCTTTTTCTTCTCTACTGTATTCTTTCTACGCCACTTGTACCCTTCGTTCCGATAACTCGACTTCTTTAACGGCGACAATGAACGAGCGTACTATACACATCGCATCGACAAGCAAGTGTGTGCATCGTTGAGTATACAAGATGAATGTCTATGCCTCTCTTGCTCTCGCACTCGCTTAACTTAAGGAAGATGGCACCGAAGGGGGATTAATGAAGCTGAGCACAGAAACTCGTTCTTTTTCGTTTGACGTCAATTGTATAGGTACCGAGCGCAAGCTGCGGCACAAATGTTAAAAGTGAAGGAGATGATGATGATGAAGAAGCGTGTATACGTATGCGTTCAATACGAGTAGAGGCGGAAAGCTAGACCTTAATGGGTTAGACTCGACAAGGGTCAAAGTTGGAGGTTATCGCAACTAGCAAGAATTTTCAAACTAGATAACACCAACTATAAAGTGTCTCCGCCTCCCTTCCACGTTAATCTCTCTCTCTCTCTCTCTCTCTCTCACTGTCTGCCAGTCTCACGAGTTCTCGGATACGCGATTGGAAGAAGAGAGAAGAGAAGGAGAGAAAGCGATGCAAATAAAGCAAGCGCACGCACGTTAATTAGGAGAGCTCGTCAATCGTCAAGATGCATTACCCATGTAAGCAATTTATCAAGCGCAAAGAAACTTTTACTCTTTCGCATTTATCGAATTTTATAAATTAAGTTTTTAAGCTTTTATTTAAGCAGTTCTATTGACAGAGCGCTTTTTAACGAAGTAAACAGCTGCATTTAAAGGCAAAATTTTGCAAGACTGCTGAGCACGAAATACATTATCAATTTCAAAGTTTTACGTGAGATGTGTCGTGTATTTATTGCAGCTAGAGGCACGCGGGGGAAAGAGAGGTGTGCGTAACCTCGAGGTTATCGCTGACCTCTTGGCTCGGCTGCGTACACGGAGCTTCGAGAGGAGAACCTATTTGCGCATTTTTCACATTTCCTCAGGCCGCTCGTACTAAATGAGCGAGACGGCGGCAGCCGAATAATTCTGCCTCGAGGCTCGCTTAAAGAGGGTGGCAGTTTTGGATGAATGGACTTACCGTGGCTGCGGGTAGGGTTGGCATGGGCTGCGAAACCGGCTCGAGGCCAACTCTCATGCGCTTGGCGTTATCGCTCTCATTCTCGCAGGCTGTCGCCAAAATCTGCTCGGCCTGCACCGAGGTCAAGTGAGCTGGCGTCGGCCTCGCCTAAACAACGGCAAAAGGAAAAACTGCGTGAAAGCGCATTTACGTATGCATTTTCTCCACCTCCGTAAGGTTTATGATACATTTCTCGAAAAGCGACTCGATGCTTGCTGTACCTCCTCCACGCAGTCTGCCTTTACATTTCTATTTTGACATTATAGCTATGACCGAGGCTGCTCTCGATTCAGCTGATAATTTTTATAACGAATTTTACAAATCCGTATCATTCTTCCTCGTCAATCGTATATTAACATCAGCATCACGCTATCAATAACAACGCGTTATTTCAATAACGTAATAAAGAGGAAATCGATAATTGGCTGATTTAAATAACGAGAAAAGAGTCACGCGCATGTGGTGTATTGTAGAATGTAACAAATACCCGCGGGGTGTTGCTGTATATCTGCCACGTAGAGGACAAGCATCGATCGTTTTTAGCCAAATAAACATCGCGTCGAAATACAAAATCAGGTGTCACTCCCACCCCCCTTTCCTGCTCCTTAAAGATGTGATTTGAAATATGAAATAAATAAGGGCTACTTACAGCATCCCAAGGCGCACCCTCCCTGCCTCGCTTGTTCCTTCGACAGCTTTTTAAATACGTCCTGATTCGCTTCCGCGCGCGTTCTGCGAATTCAGGAAACTGCCTCGTGCAACTGTCGATTATGGCTTGGATCTTCTCTTTCGGCTGCTTGGAAATGGGCACTATGCGATCGAGATTTTCGTCGACAAACAGCCTCACGAACATCTGTAACGGCGATTATTTTTTTCTCTCTAGCCATACTGTCATCTCGTGTATTTGAATCGTGACTTTTCAAGCATTTCCCCTTTAATGGTTTGTATTTAAATTCTAGGTACGCTAGTACATTACGAAAGTGCACGGAACAAGGCTGAAAAAGGTTGGCAAAACTCCAGCGTCTTGTGTAAATCGCAAATTCGTACAAAGTGGTACGTAGATAGGAGAATAAGGATTACAAAAAGAACACACAACAAAAAAACAAAATAAAACAAAAAAAGTAAGAATAAAAAAAAAATAATAAATAAGCTCCTGAATAATGCTGCACTCTTTTAAGGCTCATTGGAGGATAGATAATGCAAGGATCGATCCCCGGTATACGCACATTGAAAGCCTTGAGACGCTCGGGGTCGTGGTGTCGGGGGTCCAGCCTCTCGTCCACGTCCTCGTCGTCGTCATCCTCATCCTCTTTATTGCCGCTGCTACTAGTCTCGTCGTGAGCGCTGCCCGCGCCCTCGCCCCCTGTGGGACTACACTCACGATCTCGGTCCCTGTCTCGGTCCCGATCGCGATCGCGATCACGCTCGGATCTTGAAGGCGTGCTTGAACCCGGGGGTGGCGTCTTCTTTAGACCCATAGTGTAGGAAGCCCAAAGTGATGCCATGTCCTCGCTGGCAACTGATCCGCTGGGACCTCCCGGGACGCCACCCGCGGCCGATGTGCTCAACTCGCTCAGGTCGGCACTGCCATTCCGTGAATCTACAATTTACATGAATAGGCGTATGAAAGAGTCTCGCTGCATCATTGTCTTTGTATGAAATGATTAGCGTTGCGTTCACACGGACATTTCATGAGATCGATATTGGTTTATTTCTTCAGCTATTCACTGCGTAATCTTATATGTGGTCGGGTTGGGTGTCGAGTAGGGCTAGACCAGACTGACCTGTATACTCGATTGGCCGATTGTAATTTTTTCTTTGAAGGCCAAAATGTGATTCAAAGTTTAATTGGCTTCAATTATCCACCATTGCTTTCTTCAAAATCAATGCGTCTAATTTTCAAAGTTCAAAGTCTATGTGCAAATGCTTTTTCATATCTGTTGATTGATACATACGTCACAAAAGAAGATTATGAACAATCGATTTTGCATCTTCGAATAATTAGCAAATTAGATTTATTTTTAAATTAACTAGAAAATTTAGGTAATAATAAAATACAAATTTTTGTGATGCTTATTAAGTATTTAGTTATTTGAGTATACAGTTCACACTCTCTCTTTGTATCTATTTCCTACTCATTTTATGCATTCGCGCACTCATTCTTATCCATATTCATAATAAGTAATGTTTGCATATCTTATAATACATGAAATATCATCTAAGCCCTATTAACACATGAGTTTACACTTATATAAGAATGTATTTCAGATCTTGTAAACTATTTGATTTTGATGGTCGATTTTGTATGGATATAAGTTAAAAATGGAACATAATTTAAGTATTTAAAATGCTAATAAATATTTTAAAAATGTCAAGTTATAGAAATGATACGAATGACATTTAGTAAATAATTAATATTTTATATAATCATGGTAATATCCCATTAAAGCATATTTATTTTAAAATGTAAATTATCATGTTGATTACAACGTGGGCGCGCAAGCACGCGCGCACGCACACATACATATACATCTAAAATAAAAGCCATTAAAAAAATTGAATGACATATATGTTTCGTACAATATTAAAATGCTATGAATTCCAGGTATTGTGAATGAAGAGGAAAATGAAAATTATATTATATTTAATTTTACTATTCAGTATCAACATAAAATATCGATTGCCGTTTACCGAATTCAAATAACGATTCAATAACATCGATACCAAATGATGCAGGCATTACCATTAACAATTAAGAACAGTTATAAAAAGAAAAAAGAATACGGAACGAGCTAAAGGTATGCAATTTTATCAATGAGTGATTCGGCTTCCCGTACGAAAGAATGAAAATATCTCGGCCCGTCTCGAGCTACAAGTGCCTTACAAGCACAGCCTCACCTGTGATAGTGCAGTTATTGATGGTGTTGTTCGCCGTGGATATGATCGACTGGCTGGATACGGGGACCGTGCCGTTGTTGGCAGACGTGCTATTGTTGCTCGGCGACAAAGCATTAACGCAGTTGTTTACATTTTGGGACTGCTGCTGAGATTGACTTTGGCCAGACTGAACCTGTCCCACCTGCATCTGACTGCCTGGACCTTGTCCCGGGCCCGGAACCCCTGGACCCTGAACCTGTGCCTGCTGCTGGAGACTGTAGTTCCAAGCAAGCAGCATCAGCTTAAGCTTATCAGCGTCTTTCATTAGCGCGCCTGTCGAAAAACATTATCGTGTTTTTTTCAATTATTCCTACCTGCATTGTTCCTACACTTGGCAAGAATTATCATTTGCTCTTGCGGTTAAGAATAATGATGCAAACTCATCAAATGTCTTATTTACACTGCAAATTTTTTAATAATAAATAATCGTAGCCATGTTACTTTTAAAAATCTACTTAATAAATGTTAAATTAAATTCGATTCAATAATTTTGAATGATTCCATATATATATATATATATATATATATAATTTTTTGACCTATCACATTTTCATCACTAGATAATTATGAAAATATTATATGATAATCGTAATAAACACCATATAAATGTTTGGGAAAAAAATTATAGAGACAATAAAAAAAATTACAATTTTCAACATTTTATTTTGTATTGTATATTGTATATAGAATTCATTATTATTCATACGTAAACAAGCTAAAACGAATACACATTTTTCTTTTTTTAAATATCAGTTATTGAGACGGGCCTTGAGTGTAATGAATATATAGAAATATATAGAAATAGGGTATGCTGTAATTATAGATCGATAGATGTATTATAATGGAAGGTGTGCTTACTCGAATAGTGATCGTCCTCTGATATGTCGGCCGGCTCTGGAGTAGAGATGTTCTCCTGTAAAAAAAAAAGGATAAATAACATGTAAATGATATTGCATCTTTGAAAAATGTAAAACTGTAAAAATGACATTAAAATTTTAATATTAAATAATTTTATTTGTTTTATATGTAAAGAGAAGATGCTTTTTTCTATTACTTTAAAATTGCTGATATACTAATATCAAATACATAAAAATTATTTAAAATCAACTAATTAAATTAATGTAAAAACTTACTATTGATTATATAACAATAAGATGTATCAGTTAATATTCTATAAAGATGTAATTAAGCAATTGATATAAACACACACATATATATATATATATATATATACTTATTTTAAATGTAAAACTTAATAAAGAATCATATTTTTTTTATTCAAACTCAATATTTTTTAAGGTACATATTTATTTTTCTGCATACTTTAGAACATGTAAACATACCAACATTTACAAAAATAAAAATTAGTAAATTATATAGAAAGATTTAAATATCTCTAAAGTGAATGGGTTAACATTTTCTATTTAAAGTAAATTTGCATTTTTACTGAATGTGAAAATCTAAGATTACTCAAAATTTTATTTAATTTAAATTATTATTATAATGATTAAATTACTATTTGCCAATTAATTTTTTTTTTTAATTTTAATGTCACTGAATACTTACATTAGCATTTAATCATTAAATAATTTTTTTTAAATACTGATTGTTACTGTATATCAAAATACGAAAAAATATTTATATTATATATATATAAATTTAATACAGAATTTAATACAAAAATTCAATTCATTTGTTTTACGTACTACCAAATTAAAAATTTTGATTTTCCGAAACTATTATTATAAATGTACATTTGTGAATGCTACGTTTAGCATCCGTAATACAGTTATTTGTTTTAACAAAAGTCCTAATCAGAAAGTATTTGAAATGAACTAAATATAAGCACAATTTTTTATTGTTAGATAGAATTTTAAACATTTAATAAAATGAAGTTTAACTTATTACAGTATATATACACATATATACAAAACATATATAACATTTATTTTAATAGATAATATACATAATCAAACGATAATTATAATTCATTATTGGGCCAATTATGTTCATCACTGTTGTACGTACAATAATTTAACAGCAAATCATTACCTTATCCTTAATTAGCTTATAAATTCATAGATTCTATATACTAATATAACAGATGTACCATACTCTTTTAACTATTTTATGCGTTATCATCGTCCTTTGATATTAGCAGATCACAACATTAAATTTGAAATCATTGTTATGTGACTTAATGCCTATTGTCTTTTGTTCAACTTAGTTGATCAAGATCATTTTATTAGTTTTATTTCACTCTGTTAAAATATGAATATATAATAATAAATATAAAGGAACAAATCTATAATGAAAACTCTTCATACATTCGTTGATGGTACAATTATATCGATGACTATTTGCAATTCTGTAAAAAAGCTGCAACGTTAGAAATTAGGTTTCCTGTACTTCTTTTCTTATCATTTTCGATTGGCAACTAGTGTTTTTACATACTGCACTTGAATCTAAATGTTTAATTATTACGTACATTTCAAATGGTTAATAAATTTTGTATTACTTATAAGCAGCATTTTAAAGTAAATTTTTACTTTATAATTAAAACATATGTAACTTTAGTAGGTTTAGATATTATGAAATTTAAGAAAAATGATTTTTGAACATTATATGAAAAGAAAAGAAAACAAATTTTTATTTATTCCATCATCTATGATATTATATAAAATTTGTTAAGTCTTGTATAATAAGCAGTCAACATTTAGATTAAGTATTAGCAAATGGAATATAAAGAAAAAAAATTAAGCTTTATAAATTATTCTCTTTATGTGAACTATAGGTCTGCTAATTTTCGGTGCGGTATTAAAAAGTAACCAATATTATAATAAATATTTCTAAACAAAACTTTATTATTGATAATTATTAATAAATGGTACTCGATTGGACGAATAATTACATAAATATAAATTGCAGCATCTTCGTGTCTTTTCCCATTATTTGGTACACACACTATTTTGGGCTGAATGTAATAACGATAAAATTTTAATTATCTATATAAACATAGGAAAAAAAGTTATTTATTTCATTTCACTATTTTATAATAAATTGATTTTATCAAAAGTACAGTAAAGACAGTAACAATGACATATAATGTTTTTTTTTTTAAAACAATCGAAATCAGTGTGAAAAGTTACAAATATACATTACATTGAAATATTTTTAATCTTCCATCAACTATGTGATACATTATACCGAATATAGTCTAGTATTAACCTATGATAGAAATATGTAATAAGTTGGCTTCTTTCTTTCTTTATTTTGAAATGATTTTTTTATTTTTATTTTGAACAATACGATTTATATAACAATGAAAATAAATAGCCTCTTTCATTGTTTTGATTTATTTTATTTTTTCTTTTTCTTCATTCAACTCTAAATAGAATCTCGACAATTAATGAGATGAAAGTATACCATAAAATTCTATAAAAGCAATAAAATGTTGGTGGTCTAATCGAACATCTATTGATTATACTGGTTAAGGAACGAATAATCGAATTGTTTCTTATAATTGTAAATGAAGTATCAATTGTCCGATAATATCAAAATGTTATCATTTTTTTTCAATTTAATATGAGGAAGAATCTTTTATCTCATATCAGTTTAGTATGAACCATATTTCACTCCACTACGCATTAGTGCAGTTCAAAAGTTAACGCTCTCTCGTTATTCTTTTTACAATTGAACGTTGCACGACAGCAGACTCTTTCCTCTTAATTATTATCGACCTCTACAAACTCACTTTGTGTAGCGCAAGTTTTTCATTTCTTCACTTCTTGATAATTCTAAGAATTCTCTCTCTCTCTCTCTCTCTCTCTCTCTCTCTCTCTCTCTCTCTCTCACTCTCTCTCACTCTCTGGTACCAAATTAAAGAAAAAAAATATATATATACACATATATATATATACAAGAAAACTTTCATGGTCATCAAAAAATTTCTCTACGCAATTTAATACGTAAAACTTTTATAATAAATATTGCGTCAAAAAAATTTTTTTTTATTGATCATTTTATTATAATATTTATGGTAATTAATTTTATAATATTATTATAAAATGTATTTGTAAAATATATTCCTCTAACTTGTTATTAAATATAACTATTTTTAATATAATTAATTTACTACGTTTAAACACAATACGCATGGCTTTCCCTTATTCTTGAAATTTAAAAGTCCTGTATTTACGATTAATGAACATGGATGTGTTGTATTAAACTTCGGTTGATGGACGAGTTACAATTTAAAAATTATTAAAGCACATTTAGGAAAAGTATTGGTTCCGTGTGTTGGCGCCGAATGCATTCCGATACCATGCATACATCGTAATAAATTCGTAAATTTTTAGCATTAGTATGGCGTTTATTGTTATCGATAAAAGCAAAAAAATAAAATAAATTCAGTTCTTTTTTTTTTTTTCTTCTATGTAAATGATAAATGTAAATAATATAATGGTAGCGCTTATTAGATCTAAGATAAATCGTATGTATTATATGCTGTTGATCAATTAAATGGCTTGGTTATTTTATTAAAAAAAAAAACGGGAAAAAAAGGAAAAAAGAAAAAAGAAAAAAAAAAAGAGCGTACGGTCTTAGAGAGGCAGGGGAAAAGAGCCAAAGTCAGTGGATTTTGCAAGGTGTGCTGTGCTCACGATACATATAGGTTTTATGGGTGCAGCTTCAGCCATGGCAATATGTTGTCTTCGGTAAATCGATGCAGCCTCGTACTTATACGCTATTTCGCAACGTCATAAGGTCGACTGGTATATTGTTGAAATGGTCAGTGCCACGTCGTCGAGTGCAAAACACTTCGTAATATAAGCAGAGTTAGATGTGTAAAACAAAAGAAATAAGAAAAACGAAAAATGAAAAGATCGTTTGTAGAAAGAGGCCAATTGCGTAACTAATCTCTTTGGCGAATGGCTACTTCTTAAACATTCTTCTTTTACACCAATACTATACAAGCGCAGCACTTGTTAATGACACACTTTGCCTTTAATTTAGCGATGTTTCATTCCTTCCACTTGCATTCCTCTTAAATATCAGTAAGCATTGTAATAAGGTGGCAGAAGATCGATTCACATATACGAGCTAAACAATGAGGCCTCGCGCGACGCCTGGCACTGCGAGAGAGGGGGCGGGTATGGGGAAGGGGGTAAGGGGTAAGGGGGGTATGGGATGGGATGAGCCGGAGGGGAGGGGGGTGAGTAAAGAATCATTCGAGAACAAAAGATATATCGGGAGAACAGACATTTCTCGCGATGGTTTATCCTGGCGAACATTGTGCGGGCAGTGCATAAATCCGCGCGTGCGTATACACGTAACGAGCAAGAATATTGGACATTCACCGCATTGGAGGTTAATAGGTAGGGAGTGCACACGCTCTCGTAAACCCGAGGTAAGCCGACACGATCCTTTTGAGTTTATCCTTCGTAATGGCGCAACGCATAGGACTAAAGGCAGATGACGTTAAAAATTATTTTGTTCGTTTTGTTGGGGAAACGAGGACGAGCAGAGCATCTCTTCGAGCAGCACTTAATTCGATCACTCTCGTCGACTGATGTTGCATTAACAAGGGCAGGAGCTGCCGATACCTAGCGATGGAAGGACTCCCAACATCCGGCACATTCCTCTCGCTCTCCCTGGCCTCTCTGCTCCGGTTGATCTCACCTACGCGCGCGAGCCGCTCGCTTCCGCCGGATATGCGAACCGAGAGTCTCCGGGTCGGCTCGCCTCAGTCCAACGCCCACGTTTACGACTCGCCCTCATTTTTCGTCAGAGGCGCGACAAAGGAGATTCCAGCGGCTACGAAGGAGCCTCGAGCACTGGATTTGTTTAGTTGGCTACAATTAAGCCACTTGGCTGCAATTGTTTGTCGCTCAGCAGAGAATTCCGCTGGGAGTG